CAAGCCAGGATGATGGCTCCCAGTACAGTGGTGGTGGTGGGAGCCTCTCCCACCTCCTCAGCAACGCTAAGGATGTCTGACTGCAGCTTAGGCCTGCTCCCCGCTGGCAAGTGGACATCCTCTGAGGGCTCCCAGGCTGCCAGAGGGATATCTGACTGCCAGGTTAGGCCCAATCCCTTGGGGAGTAGGCCTAAGCCAGCAAGTGGTCACCCCCGAGGGGTCCCAGACTGCGAAAGGGCACAGGCAGGTCTGAGGGACCCCCTACCCCTGAGTGCACAAATTTTTGTGCACCGGGCCTCTAGTCCTATATAATAAAAGGCTAATATGCAAATTGTCCCCTCGACCCAGGAGTTCGGCTAGGGGATGGGGCACCCCCACCCCAATCAGGGATGGTGCCTTCCAGCCAACCACCCTGTGGCCCCACCTCTCTGGCTGGTTCCACCCCCAATCGGCCCTCCCACCCCAATATGGGGCAAGGCCAGCTGGCCAACCTCCTGCATCCACTCCCCACCAGCCGTCCTGGCCCAATTGGACCCGATCAGGGCAGGCTAGGCTGGCCGGACTCCACCCGTGCATGCATTTGTGTACCGGGCCTCTAGTTTGGTTAATAAATGCAAGCAATTTGGAGCAGAGTAAAGACACCCATGACAAAAGAAAAAGGTCAGATGCTGCCAAATGCTTTTTACTAAACCTTGTGGGGGAGTATTTAATTATGTCTATTAGAAGAGAAAATAATTTTTTAAAAACAGGGACATGTGTTAGAAAGTTAGCTGAAGGAGACAAACAGACTAGCCATGTGGAAAGTAGTAGAGAGTATCAGCGGCTGTAAGTGGTACTGGAGGACCTGCTCTGCAGCAGTGTAGCCCAAAGGGCAGTGTGTTTTGGGTCATATGACCCATTTCATTTGTTTTAGCTAAAGACGAATTTCTAATCTTCTGTTTCCAAAGGAAGGCATTCAGTAAAACAGAAGCCTTAAAGTATTAGTCTGTACACATTCTGCTTTCCTTATCCAGAGAAAGATATAATGGTAAGAAAGAACTGACTTGACATGGAGTCTTCTGTAGATCGCACACCTTTAATACCTACCTGTTTTTTTATTTTCCCTATCAATTATTCTGTACAGTGACAGACCTGGAAACTATACAGTGGATTCAGATAATAGCAAAATTGTCTTTAGAATTCTGTAAGCAGCTAAAGGACAATGATTGTGCTCTGCCCGATGACCTTCCCTCTAAATAAGGCAACGGGATGGCCAAGTATTTGGTGTGGGCAGACACAAATGAGTTGATGATGATGATGATGACCTTGTTTAATTTTAGCCCCACTTTGAGCTCTCCTGTGCTCCTCTTGGTTTAGGATGAAGACTGCAATGGGAAGAACAGTTGCCATGAGAGTGAATTATCAGTGACCACAGAAGCTGTGCACTACCTCTATATCCAGGTGAGGCTCTGGCATGCAGTGTGGTGACCAGCAATTGCTGGTGGGTATGTTTCAGGAGACTAGAGCAAGACAGTGGGCAGAGCAGGACCCCCTGGCACTACCAGAGGTTAATTGGCCAGCGAGGACTGCAGCATGGAGGCCCTTTCCCTCAGCCTCGCACTCATGCTCTCCTGTACCATAGCAGGAGGCGGCATAGGGTGCTGCTTGTGGGCTCCGGACTCGGGCTGTGTAAGTTCACATCTTGGATCTACCAGCCACAGCTGTGTGAGCTCAGGCACGGTTCTTCAGCAGCCTGTGCCTCAGGTTCCTTATCTGTGAATTAAATAACAGCAGTCTCCATGACTCGTGAAGCATAAATGAAATAATGTATGTGAAGTAATTAGAACCATATCCGAGTTTCATAAATGCTAGACTGCATGTAAGAAACTGCTTTTTCTAACAAATTGAATCTGGCCAGTTAAGGTCTGATGCACAAACATCCTTGCATGTGCAGAAGAAACGCCAGCTTGGCTTTAGGCAAACTGGCTTGTCCTGGAACCTCTCGGGGACAAGAGCCACAGGCTAACCCGTTGCAATGAGGCATGACTAAAGGGAAGCCTGTGGCTTTGGCCTGCCCCCATGCCTGAGGGGCGGTGTTCTGGACAGTGGTGAGTTCTGCCAGCAGAGGAACAGCCACTAACCAAAAATGAAAACTTGCCTCGACTCCAAGTGAACAGGACCATGGGGCATTATTAGTATATTCAGTCATATTTGCAAGTAGGCAGGTCTTCAAACATGAAGATAAGTTTGACAGTTTTCAGACAAGTGTAGTGTTTCAAAAGAGGCTAATTAGGTAGTTGCTTCCCTGGCATTGGAATTAGTTTTTGGTATTCCCTAACTGAAACTTTTTTTTATCTTATTTATTTATTTTTAAAGTTTTATTTATTGATTTGGGAGAGAGAAAGAAGGGGGAGAGAGAAAAAAACATTGACTTGTTGTTCCACTTATTTATGTATTCATTGGTTGCTTCTTTTATGTACCCTGACCAGGAATCAAACCTGAAACCTTGGTGTATCAGGACGATGCTCTAACCAACTGAGCTACCCAGCCAGTAACATCTTTGAGATACTACTCACACACACTCTAAGGCATTTGTCTCCCGAACAGCTACCTATTGAGTATCTACTACATGCCATTACTCTCTGACAGAAGTATGTAGAAGAGATGCATCTGAGGTGTGGTAGGATTGTGGGTGGGAATCAGAGGCCTGGAGAGTGAGTCAGAATTTGTAGATGGTTATTTGGATCATGAGAGGATATTCCTCTCTTTTAAAAGGAGATGGTCCTTTCTTTAAAAACAGTAAAATCCTCTTTTATGAGAAATCTCACCTCTGGCACTGGTTTGAAACATATAGTCTAGAAGATTCATAAATCAAATGCTACATGTTGATATACCATTGTTTTCTGATACTTCAATACATTTAAGGAGTGAAATAGAGCCCTTTCTGGATTGTTTTTATATTTATAATGTTTTATTTTAGATTTGAAGGTCACTGTCATTAATGTAATGTACAAATGAGAAAGGCTAATGACATCATTAGGTTAATTAGCCCTTCTTGAAAATTTGGGTTTAGAAATAACCTTGTAAAACAATAAATAAAAGTATACTTCTCAGATTTTTATATTATTTGTGACAAGGATTTTAAACAAGTAAGATAATTTTTAAATAAACAGTAATATGAAAAATTGGTTCTGTTAGGATGCTAAGATTATGCATATTTTATCCCCAATTTTTTAATACTCTTGTTGTTTTTTTTTCAATTAAAAAAAAAATCAGTGCCCTAACCGGTTTGGCTCAGTGAATAGAGCGTCAGTCTGCAGACTGAAAGGTCCCAGGTTCGATTCCAGTCAAGGGCATGTACCCTGGTTGAGGGCACATCCCCAGTGGGGGGCGTGCAGGAGGCAGCTGATCGATGTTTCTCTCTCATCAATGTTTCTAACTCTCTATCCCTCTCCCTTCCTCTCTGTAAAAAATCAATAAAATATATATTTTTTAAAAATCAAACCTTTTCCATAACTATTTGAAACCTGTGGTACATGTTTTAAAATGAAGGATTACATTTATTGCAATTGTCCTCAATTGAAACTCTGTACAGTCAAATCCCTCCTGGTTTGTTCTTGTCCATAGATGGAATACTGTGAAAAGAGCACCTTACGTGACACCATCGACCAGGGACTGTATCAAGACACCAACAGACTCTGGAGGCTTTTCCGGGAGATTCTGGATGGACTGGCTTATATCCATGAGAAAGTAAACTACAGCATTTCATATCTGAAAACTTATCTTTATATAAAATTTAAGATCGAATAAGAAAATCAAATAATGTAAGATTGGAGAAAAACAGAAATAGAGAGAAAATTGTGGGTATATTGAAAATAATCTATTTTTATAGGTACTAGAACTATGTGTCAAAAGATAAGAAAGTAGTACAAAGTATCAAACTTAAAATATTGAAAGTTAGACCAAGGTTTAGAAAACTGTGGCCCACTGGTCAAATCCAACCACATTATGTATGGCCTGGCCTGTAAGAATGGCTTTTACATTTTTAAGTAATTATTTAAAAACAATCAAAAGAATATTTCATGACACATGAAAATTCTATGAAATTCAAATTTCAATGTCCATAAAGTGTTATTGGAACAGGCCCTTGCTCATTGCTTACATAATGCCTATGGCTGCTTTTATGCTACAACTATAGAATTGAATAGTTATGACAGATTCTGTGGCCCATAAAGTCTAAAATATTTTCTGGCCCTTCACAGAAAAACTTTGCCAACCTCTGGGTTAGGAAATACATGAACATGCCTAGAATATGAGGATGACTCCTAGAGTGGTTTAGAATACAGTGAGAATGTGATTGATGCAGGCCAAGTTATCTGATTCTGACTTGGTACCACCCTTCCCAGGAACATGGAGGAACCAGAAAGTCATCTAGCAAGGACAGAGATGGGACTTGTTGAGTAACATGTACAAAATCCTATATAATAAAACCCTAATATGCAAATCGACCGAACAGCAGAATGACTGGTTGCTATGATGCGTACTAACCACCAGGGGGCAGGTGCTCGATGCAGGAGCTGCTCCCTGGTGGTCATTGCACTCCCACAGGGGGAGTGCCACTCAGCCAGAAGCCCTGAGCTGGCTCACGGCTGAGCGCAGAGGCGGTGGCGGCATGGCTAAGGACCTCTCGGGGGATGTCCACCTGCTGGCTTAGGCCCACTCCTTCAGAGGGCACAGGCCAGGCTGAGGGGACCCCCCCCCAAGTGCACAAATATTGTGCACTGGGCCTCTAGTGTCATTATAAAGCTAGAAATTGCCATTACAGTGTAAATACTAATGGGGCTAGCTTCAAGATGAAGCACTCTTACTTTTTAAAAAATGGAATTGTCTAATGCATTAGCCAGTATAAATATGTTTTTTCCTTTGCTTCAGTTTCTTTAACCTCGAAATATTTATACTGTACCATTTTTCTACTAAAAAGCCAGAACTGTAATTTACACATGTCTAGTTTATAAATGATTTGGTGGAAACAAAATTTGCAAGGCTGGAAATAAAAATGCGTTCTAGTGAGGGTCACTAGAACTCTATTACTGTGATATCATCCTGGCGTTCTACAACCATGCCCCTGTGCTCTCTTCTCTCGATCTAATTTGCTCCGTATCTGCTCATCATTTGTTGGGTAGCTAACATGGTGCCACACCTAGAAATACAGGCAGACAAACCCCATGCTTGAGAAGGACTTGTGTTTTTTTTTGAGGGAGCTAAAATGTACTTTCATGTAAGGTAAAAGGGATCACACAATGTGTTTTTATTACATTTAGTTATCTCCTATATTATAGTACCTGGAACAATATGCATTATGAGAATGCCGTTAGGAAGGGGAGAAAGCATACTCATGTAACAAGTATTCATTGAGAACCTTCCGTGTGTGCTAGGGATTCAAAGTTGAAGTGTTAGAATTACCGTGGAAGACCTCATGAAAACCAGTTGGCGCTTGTAAATGTTGGTACAATTCAAATGAGTGGAGAAAAGCAAGTGTTTCCTAGGCAAGGGAATTAGGAAACAGGTTAAACTTGGTTTCTTTGCTCTCTTCCATTAGGGAATGATCCACCGGGATTTGAAGCCTGTCAACATTTTTTTGGATTCTGATGACCACGTAAAAATAGGTGATTTTGGTTTGGCGACAGACCATCTACCCTTTGCTGTGAGTATTTTTTAAATTAGACTGTGCCTGAAAAGGGCCTTGCACGCTTTGATAATAATGAAAGTGTCAGAAGACAGGATAGTGATGAGATCAGTGAACTCTGCTGTGTAAGCCCTAGGAAGCAATACGAGTCTGAAGGGGTGAGCTGCAAGTGACCTTTTATGCTTTGAAATTGTGAGTGCATTTTAGTGAGTGCATTCCACTTGAGGGACATAATTTAGGACATAAGTATGTCAATATTTAAGCATATAATACTTTATGAAATAATTTGTATTTTGGTCTACCACACCAGGCACTGGGCTAGGTGCTTTTCACTTGAGGTGCTTTTAGTTATTTTAAGGAAATAAGGCTCAAAAAGCATAAAACATCACTCCTAGACAATATATAATCCACAGGCGTTTGTTCTTCACAGCACTATAGAGTAGTTGTTTAACATACAAAGCTAAAATAATGTGAAGTGAGCGAAATCCTATATAATAAAAGGCCAGCAATCATAATGGCATAACGACCAGAACGATTGATTGACCAGTCGCTATGAGGAGCATTGACCACCTCTCAATCCCTTTCCCCAGCCCACAGGCTCCGTTCGCTGGATGGCAAATGGGGAACCATGGGGAACCAGGGTGGGTGTCGGCAGTGAGGTGGACTGGGGATTGGTGAGCGGGCAGAACGGCCGACCTCTTGGTCCCTCCCCCTGGCCCACAGGCTCCAATAGATTACCAGATGGCGAACTGGGAACCAGGGTGGGTGGCGGTGGTGGGGCGGGACTAGGGACTGGGGACTGGCAAGCGGACAGAAGGCAGACCTCTTGGTCCCTACCCCCGGCCGCAGGCTCCGATCGCTGGATGGCGAACAGGGAACCACAGGGAATTGGGGTGGGTGTCGGCCGTGGGGCGGGACTGGGGACTGGAGACTGGCAAGTGGGCAGAATAGCCAACCTCTTAATCTCTCCCCCTGGCCCACAGGCTCCAATAGATCTCCAGATGGCGAACGGGGAACCAGGGTGGGTGGCGGCGGTGGGGCGGGGCTGGGGACTGGTGAGTGGGCGGGAGATGGCCCTGATCGCAGGCTAGGCCTAGGGACCCTACCCATGCACGATTTCGTGCGCTGGGCCTCTAGTAGAGATATAAAAGGAGAAAATCTACATATGGTTATGAGGATCAAGAAAAGCTACATAAAGAAAACAGCATTTCAGATGTGCCTTAAAGGATGGATGTGAGTCCAGCAGGCCAAGCTTGAGGGCAGGGTATAGTGACACCAGGATGGGGATTCCAGCAAAAATAAGTATAAGCAAAGGCCCTGAGGTGAGCAGACATGATTGTCTGAAGGCCAGCATGTTGTTGGGCGAGAGAGGATGCTGGAAGGTTGAAAGCCCTGTAGGTGGCAGACCTTGAGTGCCAGAGGAAGAGTTTACTTGACATTGGAAGCCCAAGTTATTAAGTTCCAAAAGAGTACGCCGTTAGTAAATGCCGTTAATTTTAAGGGCGGTCAGAGAAAATAAAATAGGATTTGGATTAATGGTAAATAATCCATTTGGATAAATGGTAAATAGATGCTGAATTAAAAGGAGAGGTTAGAAGGAGCAGAGAAGGAGGAAATGGAAGGGGGTCAGTAAGAATGTGGTCCTGACCAGCACAGGGTATTTAGAGGAATGCTAAGACCAAGGAAGGGCTAAATGATGGGGATCTTGGTCCCCAAACTAAAGAATTTAACTTGCTTTCTGGAAAGCTTATATAGTGAGGTAGATAGGAGCACAGCTGGACTAGAATCCTATCTCTGCCAGTTCTTTGTGTTGTGACATTGGGCAATTTGGTTAACTTCTCAAACACATTTACAAAAGGTGTCTGATTCTAGTCCCTACTTCAGAGAGTTGTCAGCAGGATAAAATAAGACTACAGGAAAGCTGTGGACAGTGCCCGGCACTGAAAATTTTAACAGCTACTAGTATTGATGATGGTGCTGGTAATAGCGACCCATGAAGTAATGTCAGCAAAGTAGTGATTTAGGGTGGTATGTGAATCAGCACTGTCACAGATACAGTGGAGGAAGGTGAGGCTACTTTAGAGGTGTTAGCAGTGATAGTGGGAATTTGGTGGCCAGCCTCTAGGAAAAAAGAATAAAAATGGACCCAAATGAATGGGAAAGTTAGAAAGTGAGGTGGTGATGGTGGTTGTTAATATATTCTTCCTCTTCCTAGTATAAATAGATTCTGTTTGGCATTTGCTTCTATAAGCTTCAGGAGTTTCTGTCACAAAGAAAGAGTTCTATAGTGAATTGCCCTTCTTCTTGATTTTATTGGGTTTCTGGCAAGCTCTGCATTAGTGGGCCAAGTAAACAAAAAATTTTACAGCTAAAAAAAAAGCTTTATTACAATTATTCTGGTTTCTGTGTGATATTTTTCATTCAGTCTTTATTTAGAAATGGATAAGCCATTCATATGGAATAATATAACATTTTAATCTATTTGGTTTATTTATACTTTTAGGCTGACGGCAAACAAGATGATGCAGCCGGAGATCACTTAATTAAATCAGACCCTTCAGGTAAATCTAGTATATTTTATTCATGTATTAAAAAACACACCACAGCCTGGCCAGTGTAGCTCAGTGGTAGAGTGTCGACCTATGAACCAGGAGGTCATGACTTGCTTCCCAGTCAGGGCACAAGAAACTTTTTTTTTTAATGAAAATTTGCCTTTTCTTAAGTCCTGTTATTGGAAACCCTTCTCTCGCCTTCTTCCATGCAGGCCATTTGACTGGGATGGTTGGCACTGCGCTGTATGTAAGCCCAGAAGTCCAAGGAAGCACCAAATCTGCATACAACCAGGTAAAGGGAAAGCTTCTGGGAGAGAAGGAAAGGTCTCAAGAGTGAGACAATAGTAAGAACATCAAGGTCATGGCATTTGGGATTTAGTTACCAGCTGAAATAGGAACATTTTATATGTATCCACATGTATACTGAGTGACTGCACTACACAGGACAGTGACTGACGCTGACACCGCTGCTGCCGAGATACTTTACAGTCTCTCCATCCATTCAAAGAAGATTTGAACTAACCCAGTTCCAGGCCAGGCCCCAGGAGCACAAGGAATAAGGCAGTCGAGTACTAGGACAAATACCTTATTCCAGCCCTCAAGGAGCTTATCCAATAAAAGCTAAGAAGAAAAGGGGTCCAGTGACCAGAGAACACTAGGGACATCGTCTTTAGATTAAACCAGAGAAAGCTTTTCCAAGAAGATGGCTGTTAGGATAAAGGAAAAGAAGGGAAAAGCCATGCAGAATTGGAGGTTGGAGCATGCCTGGGAGGAAAAAGGGGATGAAGCAGCAGTAGCATGCCTAAAGAGAAGACGGGGTGAGAGCTAGTTTGGCACATTTAAGGCATCAAAGAGAAGGTCTGTGTAGCTACCGTGCGGTGAGCAATGGGGAGAGAGGCATGAAGTGAAGCTGGAGAGGAAGGCAGGGGTCCGATTGTGCAGGGCCAGCTTAGCCATGATAAGGACCAGGCACAGGGAGCCACTGAAGGATCTCGAGCAAGAGGTCACTCCAGCTGCTGCTGGAGGCTTTGCAGAAGTCCAGGTGGAGCAGGTGGTAGCTGGAACCAGAGTGGTACCAAGTGAGGCGGGGAGAAGCATGCTGTTATAGGATAATTTGGGGGGAATTGACAGGTTTTCCTCATGGAGAAGATTTAGGTGAGGAAAAGGAAGGAAAATGGGACACTGCTCAGGTGAAGGGCATGAGAAGACCTGAGGAAAGACATGGAGGAGAAGACGGCAGGAAAATTCCATTTGAGACATGTTAACTTTGAAATACCTCACGGGAAATCCCACTGGAGATGTCCAGTAGGTTGCGAGAGACTCCAGGTTCAAGGCTGAGAAAGGTCAGAGTCAGAGGTATAAATGTGAGAGTCATCCGCACCCAGATGGGATTTAAAGCTATGAGATTGGATGAGATCACTTAAAGCAAGAGTGCAGAGCTAAATTTAAAAAATATATTAGGCAGGCAATTCACATCAAAACACAAGCCTGGGTTTGGCCCCCGACAGGGAGCACTTGGCAGTGACAGAAAGTTGAGGCAGACCTCCGAAGACCCATCAAGAGTGAGGGTGGGGGGAGGTGGACTTGGGTGTGGGAGGGGACTTTGGTGCCACCTTTCCGAACGCAATGTAGAATAGTGTGATTACATCCTTAAAAGCACTCTACTCTTTGGCCCAGAAGTTCTACCTTTTGAAATGTACCAAAAAGAAACAACCATGAACATTCCAAAAAGACTAGTGTAAAGGGAATTCTCCATAGTATTATTTATAACAGTGAAAAATGACAAGCGTGTTTAAAAATAGGGAACTGGTTAAATACATTATGGGACTTCCATGTAATTGAATACTGTATGTCATTAAGGCCATATTTTAGAAGTTTGTTTTAGAAAAATGATATAGTATTTTAAAAAATCTCACTAAATTAAGGGAATAAAAGTTACAAGAATAGCATGGCTCTAGTTTTATAGTGTGTAGATGTGTACATTTTAAAAAGCACAAAGTGGGCATGTCTTAGACATCAATAGTAACTGTGGTGACATTTGAGCGCTTGCTATTTTGATCTTGGTGCTTTTCTGATTATTCCACATTTTCTACAGCCAGCACGTGTAGGAAATGCCACAATGAATGTTTGTTTTTAAAACTGCAGAGGTCACTGGTGATGATTGGAGAGTCTCTCCTACTAATCCTTGACTCCAAATTCATTCAGGAATTTTTTTTAAAGTGGCTTCTGTGCCTGTGCGGTGACCATGAGAGGCCCCTCCGCCTGCCAGGCTGTGCTGGCTGCCTGTGGCACATGCCCTCTGGCTCCCCCGGCAGCTCCCTCTCGGGCACTCTGCACTGACTTCACCTTTTTCCTCGTTGCTTGCACTTCTATATTTGTTAGGATTTGTCTGTGATCTTTCTGTTGTGCAATTTCTCTGCCTCGTTGGTATGGCTTTGCAATCAATAGCTGATCTTTTTTGTTAACTGCAGATTTTGGCCTGTGTTTCACTTTTGAGATTAGTAAAGATGTAAGGCAAATTCTTGAGACACATCTCAGTTGTCTTTGCATTTTAGTAATTATTCTCAATGGTTGGCCAGCGGTTATCTATGTCTCTGTATATAGCTAAACCAGTCACAATTAAATTTCAAGGAAAATGTTGAAAAGTCATGCCAAATACTTAATCTCATCTCTACCTTATACCTACTCTTTAGAAGAAATTAATTTTTTTCTACTTAATTGGCTTGTTTTTCACTTAGCAAACTTTAATTCCAATTAACAGTGCTCATAATTCTCTGGCAAATAATACTTCATATCACGACTCTCTAAATATAATTATTTTTCCTCCTTAGAAAGTGGATCTCTTCAGCCTGGGAATCATCTTCTTTGAGATGTCCTATTACCCCATGGTCACGGCCTCAGAAAGAATCTTTGTTCTCAACCAACTCAGAGATGTATGTATGAGATGTTTCAGTGCATCAGTTTCCAGTAACCTGGATCTTAGCATGGACAGCAGAATTCAGTGCAGAGGATTTTTCTGGTCCTTATAATATAGAAAAAGTGATCCTGCTGCAATTATCTGTATTCCTAATAAGTGGAAATCTATCTCTTGCATACCTCCCATGATGAGAAACTCCCCAGTTTTGTTTATTTTTAGAAATCTTACTTGGAGAAATTGCTAAGCTATAGTTACTTTTTAAAAATGATCCTGAGAGGTTTACTCTTAATTTTAAAACAAAGGAAAAATCCAAGAAGTTTTACATAATATCAGTACCGTTACAGCAGTGAGAATGGGTTATAAGGTTAATGGGAATTAACTTTTAAAAATTAAAGGTCCGAGCTGGTGCCTAAAGAAAACTACCGTGACCAAAATATCAGCCACTTGAATTTTTTCCCTCAATTAAATTTCCATTTGTGTTCATGGGATTAATCCTTGCCTCTGTTATTATCCAAACTGAAAGGGGGCTAATGTTAACAGTGTGTGAGGTCAAGGACACGAATTAGAAAAGGCATTAAGATGAAAGCAGAGAGTAAGGTGTGGGTGAGGGTGATTTAGATTTACATATTCATGAGCAAGAGATACTGAGATTCTTCCCCTTCCTTCCTGAGCTGAGCCAGTGCTTTGGAAAACACTTGAATTATTTTACTGCCAGTACAGCGTGGGCGGCTATGTTCATAAAGTAAAGGAGTAAATAAAGCGATTACTGTGCTCTTCCCGGAACTTGAGAATTGTCTTTGATGAAGTGCCTTTCTTTAGTCAAAATTTACCTCATTTCAAGAATATCTAAACTGTCAAGTTAATGTTATAATTAGGGTCTTATTTATCAGAAAGGTGAGAGCTTTGGGGGAAGTAGAGGTTTCAGTTAATGTTTTTCTCTTACTCTGTGTTGATGGTTTGGTGTTTTTGCCTTTTTTCATCTGTGTGTTTAATAAAGCTACTTTCTTGTCTTCTGAAACCATTAGATTTTAAACAACTTGTCCTCACCTAAGGTGCTTCCTATCATCTAGGCTGTCATTTGGTTAATGTTTGTATCAGTATGTATGTACTTGGAAGAATGGCACTGGGTTTCAAGAAGGTGCCACCTCCATCTTCCCCTGTTGGCAGATTTTCATTTCTGTATTTGCTTTTCTTATCTCTGGTGAATGAATGCTTTCACTGTGGCAGTCTGCCAAGCACTTGCTGATTTGAATATGATATTCTTTCAGCCCACTTCGCCCAAGTTTCCAGAAGACTTCGATGATGAAGAGCATACAAAGCAGGTAATTTTCTGATGCTTTAAACACCATCCTCACTCTTGGGTTTTAATTACTATTTTTCTTCTTTTTCAATTAGTAATCTTCTGCCACTCATTCTCTTGTGTCCTGGGAACAATGTAGAGGGAAAATCAAAAGATAAAGCACTTAAAACGTCACTAATCTTGAAACACACCATAAAAATGCCAACGATTGGCACAGAAAATTAACAAACTACAGAGTTCTTTTGTGTGGTTCATTGTGCTTTTGAAGTGCTATTTGGAACCTTGCCTTCCCTGATGGGAAAAAAAAGAGAGAATGCTTTTATAGCTCATTGTTTTAGAGAAAGCTTAGGACTTTAAGAAAAGAAAAATAATTTAAAACTATCATTTTGTTCTGTTTTGTGGTTCAAGTAGTTCAGATTGTGAAGGGGAAGACCACTCTGAAGTTACAGTATTTTAGAGCAAAATAATTTCTCCTCCATGCTATAAATATCTGAATGTGTGTGTATATGTGGCTTGTCATAGGTTAATATTGGCACCCAGCTAGTTAGTTGTTGAGGATTTTTTGGGTCATTTATGTCAATAAAATGTAAAAAGGGCCCCTGTTACGTTGTTACACAGCACCGTGAGCCTATTGAAGTGCAGGGAGGAAAATGACAAATTCAGAAACCTTCAGAAATGAAAATGCACCCACTAAGTGCAAGAAGTATGGTGTCTTTTCTTTGACTGGAAGCAACCACGGGCTTGTCAGGAGGATTCCGGAGCATCATCTGTTGCTTCTCCTCCCTTGTATGCCTGGGTTTTGTTATAGAAATCTGTCATCTCCTGGCTATTGAACCACGATCCAGCAAAGCGGCCTACAGCCACAGAACTGCTCAAGAGTGAGCTGCTGCCCCCACCGCAGATGGAGGAGTCTGAGCTGCACGAGGTGCTGCACCACACCCTGGCCAACGTGGATGGGAAGGCCTATCGCACCATGATGGCCCAGATCTTCTCCCAGCGCATCCCCCCTGCCATTGACTACACCTATGACAGCGACATACTGAAGGTGGGCTTAAGCAGGACTTCGATAGAAAGCTGTATCTGGCTCACAGAAGGATCAAGTCAGTTTCTAATTTTTCATGGATTTCTTTAAGGCCTCCAACATAAATTCTTAATCTGAGGTCTGTGTATGCAAAATGGGTGTATTTGTATTATTCTGGGAAGAACCACACTTTTAATCACTTACTTGAAGGAATTTCTGACCCACCCCCCAGGACATTAGAAGGAGTGCTTTTAGAGACTGACGGGGCCCAGTTGTCCACAACCAGAGACATCAATCAGCTCAGCTACAGATCAGGTAGTCCAGTGGTCGGCAAACTGTGGCTCGTGAGCCACATGCGGCTCTTTGGCCCCTTGAGCGTGGCTCTTCCTAAGCCTTAGGAGTACCTTAATTAAGTTAATAACAATGTACCTACCTATATACAGCTGGTTTCTAAAGGATAGCCAGGTTTAAGAGCTGTCAGTGTTTTCTTTAAAAAAAACAGGGTAAAAAAAATGTATCTGCCCCCACCCCTCTCTGTCTTCTCTGCACTGGGAGCAGCTCCCCTCATCCCCTGAAAATGTGTGCCTGCACCAAGTTTGTCTTCACCCCTCCTTGGTCAGGGGCACCTCTCAGCTGAGCCGGTCACTGTCTGCAGTGGTGCTGACAACCAGAGACAGTGCAGATGAGAGGCTCAGCAGCTTGGCAGCCCACATCCCCTGACCTCGCTTATTTCTAATCGCAGCTTCCAAACCAGTGTCATTTCAAGGGACATCGACACAGCAGCCAAGTTCATTGGGGCTGGGGCTGCCACAGTAGGGGTGGCAGGCTCTGGGGCTGGAATTGGGACTGTGTTAGAGGTTTGCTTGCTCCACGGTGGCGCCGAGAGTCCTTAGGGGGAATGTGTATATTTGACTAGCTCTCTCTGAAGGGCAAATACCAACCTGGTTAAGAGTTTGGACTCTGAACCTAGCTGGCCCTCCGCAAGCAGGACGTGCTGTGAGACTTGTGCTTTCTCTAACCTGAATATGTTCAGAAAGGGACTAACTTGAAATCTCTTCAGTGATCTTCAGAACAAGCAATGTAATGAAAGCCACAGATTAATATTTTAGGTGATCCTTTTTATTAAGCTTTGATAACATTTTAATTGGTCCTATTTTAGGGCAACTTTTCGATCTGTATAGCCAAGATGCAGCAGCATGTGTGTGAGACCATCATCCGCATCTTTAAAAGACACGGTATGTACTTTTGAAAAAATCATATGCCTTCTTAAAAGATGTTGTTTTCATCATTAAAAAGTACTATTGCCCTAGCTGGTTTGGCTCAGTGGATAGAGCATCAGTCTGCGGACTGAAAGGTCCCAGGTTCAGTTCCGGTCAAGGGCATATACCTTGGTTGCAGGCACATCCATCCCCAGTAGGAGATGTGCAGGAGGAAGCTGATTGATGTTTCTCTCTCATTGATGTTTCTAACTCTCTATCCCTCTCCCTTCCTCTCTTTTAAAAATCAATAAAATATATAATTAATTTTAAAAAAAGGTACTATTGCCCTAGCTGGTTTGGCTAAGTGGTTAGAGCATTGGCCTGTGGACTGAAGGGTCCCAGGTTCGATTCCAGTCAAGGGCACATGCCTGGGTTGTCGGCTCCATCCCCAGTGGGGGGTGTGCAGGAGGCAGCCGATGAGTGATTCTCTATCATTGATGTTTCTATTTCTCTCTCCCTCTCCCTTCCTCTCTAAAATCAACAAAAATATATTTAAAAGAAAAAAAGTATTGTTAATGGATTTGGGTGCAATTATATTTACTTTTAAATTAAATTACAAGCAACTGACATCATGTGAAATTAAAGCTTATTTTTACAATCCAGCTTGTTAAGGAGAAACGGATTTTAATATTACAACCTTGCTACTAAAGTACAGCTGGTTTACGGAGTCATAAGTATGACTAGATTGGCAAAGTTAACCTTAGGTGAGCTCTCTAATGAGAATTGACCATAGACTGATGATGATTTCCACAGTCCCCATAGCAGGAGACCCCACTGTCAGGTTTGTGTTCATTTTAACTTGCTTCCTCGGAAAAATGATTAGTTATTTTTTTTCTCATTTGGTTTAGGAGCTGTCCAGTTGTGTACCCCACTACTACTTCCCCGAAATAGGCAAATATACGAGCACAACGAAGCTGCCTTATTCATGGACCACAGCGGGATGCTGGTGATGCTTCCTTTCGACCTGCGGGTGAGGCTGGGCATACTCTGCTGGCATTTCGGATGCCATGTCTGGTCGCAGGGGTGGCATGTCTGTTAAAAGATTACACCCACTAATCTTTTTGTTTTGGGGTGTTTTGTTTTTTTGAGTTTTGTTTTTTTTTTGCTGAACTTAAAATCTAAATGTCACCCTTAGGAGACATATGTTTAAGGAAGTCGTCGGAGTGAGGGCATTACTGGAATTCAGTAATCCTTTGACCCTGTGTACATCCACTTTGTTAATCATACATGTGCTGCCGAAACTGGTTTGGCTCAGTGGATAGAGCATCGGCCTGCGGACTCAAGGGTCCCGGGTTCGATTCCAGTCAAGGGCATGTACCTTGGTTGCAGGCACATCCCCAGTAGGGAGTGTGCAGGAGGCAGCTGATCGATGTTTCTCGCTCATCAATGTTTCTAACTCTCTATCTCTCTCCCTTCCTCTCTGTAAAAAGTCAATAAAATATATTTAAAAAAAAAAAAACATACATGTGCTTTTGGCCCTAGAAACTGAACCCTGCATTGCAGGTGCCATGTCTGAGTCTCGCGGTTGAGCTCTGCTGAATGACCATAGCACATTAACCAGGTCTGCTGAGACAAATACATGGATTTTCTTCTCTATTCCTGGCAGATCTTTGCTAACTTTCTAACATGTTAATGTCTAGAACAACTAAATTCTTATAACAGGAGTGTCTGCTAACCGGTGTACTGCAATCTGCTCATGCTTGCTTTCCTTCAGGTCCGCAGGGTTCCCTTTGACAGCAACACTCTTACCAGTTGTTCACTCATAGGGTTGGCTGCTGACAAGCCCATTTGTAGCACTGTCCGTGCATAAGACAGACACGAGTTTAATACTCATAATAGACAGAAAGCACTTACAAGTAGAGGAATGAGCAAAAGATATAATCAGGAAATTCTCACAAGAAATGCACAGGGCTGATAAACTTCTGAGTGTACCACCTCACTAATAATGAGGAAATATCAAGCAAAATATCAAGCAAAGTCTCCACTTCACCCGTCAGACTGGCAAAAATATTTCAATGAATACCCAGAGATGACAAGGGTGTAGGAAAATAAGTACTTTCATATGTTGCTGATGGGAATATAAATCACTGGACCTCTAGAAAAGTAATCTGAAAGTATTTACTAAAATAAATGTTTTTGTTACACAAACTATACCCTGTGAACCAGGAACTCCACTTTGAGGAGTTGATTTAAAGAAAATACAAATATGTTGGTGTATGAATATTAAAAGGATGTTTTATTGCTATATTATTATGGTGGTCAAAATCTGAAAACTGCACGATTATCTATAGGAAATGGTTGAATAATTTACTATGGAATATCAAAGAGGTATAAGATCAAAATACATATATATGTATCTAGGTATACCCATGTCTATGTTTGATCTGTAGAAATGTCCATAGGATAGTGTTAGGTAGGGGGGAAAGTGTGTTTCAAAGGAACTCTAATATGACCCCATTTTTATTATAAAGAAAGAGAGAAAGTTGCAGGGGGCGAGGTGTCAATTGAGGAAAAAGGAGTCATATGTAAAACTTTAGACAATAAAAAAAATACATTTCATTTTTAAAACTGGGAAAAAAAAGAAATTTAAAAAACAACAAGTGAGTGTATGCACTATATGTTTGCGTCATCTGGTATGTGTGTGGTATAAACATGCCTTCACATGCATGTGAATGACCACAAACACCAGCTTGTTTGTATCAAAATAGAGTGAAGAGTCAAAGAATACACTGAACCTTTGACTGTATATTTCTGGAGAGGGTGTGGAATCAAGGCATTTCCTTTTTCATACCTTTGTTGTGCAGCTTATTGCAATAAAATGTTTTTGCTTTTCTGGTTTAAGAAAAAATTCTTTCATATCTTGGCTTGTTTTTCTTATACAGTAAGTAAAGTGATTTGGGATTTTTTTGAGTAATAAGTGAATCAATAGCATATCAGACATTTGGGCTCTGTTAAAGAAAGGGTGGAAGTACAAACATTTACACAATGATACTTACAACTGGCTGCTGCTTCTCTAGATGTTAGGAGACTAAAGTATAATTTTTTAAACATAGTTCCTTTTCTGTGAGCTGATAGTCAACTACAAAAGATAAAAAGTAAGTACCCTTTAGAATTTAACCCAGTGGTTAACGATGCTCTCAGATCTCTTGGGACAATCTGAAAATGGTTTTACAAGTTTTGATGATTATTAGTGGGTAGTTATTAAGCATTTCTCCTAGAAAATCGGTAGGAAAATCAAGGAATTCATCACAAGAGATAATGCCCATGTTGATTGCATTATCATAAATGACACTCAAAAATCTTCACAAATAACTTGCACTGGTTTTAACTTGGCATAATAAAATTTGGCAGAGTATATTTAACTAAAAGTTAATTTTTCCTCAAACTTAACAACCTAAAAAATACCACAACGAATAAGGCTCACCAACCTTATTATGTGCAGCAGTGGGGTCTACTGCTGACTGACACAGTCAGGAACATTTCAAGGAACATGAATGACAAGCAGTGCACAACTTTGTGAATGTACTAACAACCACAGAATTGTCCACTTTAAAAGGGTTGAACTCTATGGTATATGAGTTATATCTCAATAAAGCTGTTACTTAAAAACTAAAAGGAGTGTGCTAGTTGACACTTCTTGACATTGACCTTTGAAACTTTATTTCTCAGGTTCCTTTTGCAAGATACGTGGCAAGAAATAATATATTGAATTTAAAACGGTAAGAAACTATGAGGATTTCATTTGGTGGATGTGGGGAAAAACCCAGGAAGAATGTTTTATCTTCTGTGATCCTTACACAGTAACGAATTTGGGGTGTAAAGTATTGAGTTTGGAATATGCTCCAACACCCAGGCACAGTAGCCCTTTCTATAAAGTGGTGAGGTCAGTCAGCCTCCTCTTCAGGAGGGAGGTGGCACTTGGGTGGGTACTGAAGCTCCTGCAGTCTGTTCTGTGACTTCCGAATATCCCCAGGCAACATAACTAATTATTTTCATGAATAGTTGCTTGGAAAAATAACATCTGGCTGTTCTTGATGGTCCCTTTTAAAACTTAATTGGAGGGACAAATGGCCAGTGATCCCTGCGTGAAAACTGCCTACATAGGTAACGGAACGAAAGCTGTGAGTAGGGGAGTGGAGTGAACCAGCAGGAGTGCTGCACACCAGGAGCTCCGGGCACTTAGCACCGGGGAGAGTTTCTGTCCATGCAGACACCACAGGGTCTGACACCAGGTCTTCGTCAGCTGGAGCAGTATTGTTGTCAACGAGGCACCCTACTTTAAGGCTCCATTCCCCAAAAGAAATCACAGCTTTGTACATGCTTTTATTCTCAGCTGCAAGTGAACAGTTGGTAGTCATAGTCCTAAGGTGTGGGTATCACTGTAGAAAGCAAGCACTTAAGGTGAAGTTATTTGTGTGTGTAATGTCATCTCTATTTCAGACATGTAATGAAAACTGGGAGTTGGAACGTAGGCCGTAAGGCAAGACTGTTTGGGAAAACCTTCTTTAGGCTTTCTTTGTCATACCACTGATTAATTTTTCATAGCTGTTACCTGTTCAAAATGTCTTATGCATATTTGATTCCAGTAAGCAACGACCTTAGAAATCAGGTTTCTCTCTCCAGATACTGCATAGAACGTGTGTTCAGACCTCGCAAATTAGACCGATTTCATCCCAAAGAACTTCTGGAATGTGCGTTTGATATCGTCACCTCCACCACCAACAGCTCCCTGCCCACTGCTGAAGTCATCTACACTATCTATGAAATCATCCAGGAGTTCCCAGCCCTGCAGGTTCCTTTCCGCATTCTCACATTCTGAGGTTCCCCCACCAGAGTCCTTCATCAGGCGTGGGGTGGGACACCCTGCAGAGCTGCACCCCAGCTGTGCTGACAGTGAATCACTGTCACTAAAGTGACAGAAGAGTTTATGATGTTGCTTTTGAGTTTTACCTCAGGCTTTTACCTCGGCCTTGAAAGGAACAGCCTTTGTTTTTATCTGTTTGTTTTGTTTTGAGGGAAGGATGTTCTTTTTCTGCCTATTCTTCCAAAATGGAAGAAATTAGGCTGATTCCTAGGATGGTTTTTTTTTTAGCACGTTCATAGCCTCTTCAGAGCCCTTGGTGGGTCCCTCCTATACCTGAGCTCTCAACTCCCCAACTTCACTTTTCCTCATGTTTGCATGCTCCCTAGCCACTGCTCTTAGCCCGAGGTTTGGCTCTCAGGCCCTCCCTCCCCATTCCGTGGGCCTGCGCTGTTCACTCCAGCGCAGTTCCTTCTCTTGAAAGACTTCTCTCTACCCAGCCATGGTGTTGGCCCTGTCTCCCCAGGAAGCCTGACTGCTCCCCACTGGTGGACTGGCCCCCTTCCCTTTTCAGCTCTCACTGACACAGACATCACCTGCTCCTTGAGCTGTGTTGGCTGGTAGTTGTTCAGTCAGAGTGTGTGCTCACTTTTGTTTTTTTCCAAATGATAAGAGGAAGTTTATTTAGAAAGTTACAGAGGTGGTAGAAGTGAGCCAAAGGCAGCTGCCGAGGGGGGAATTTGAGGGGAAGGGTAAAGCACCCTCACCCTCGTGCTCCCACAGGCAGAATCGCCCAGGGTGTGCTCCTTTGGGCAGAACCTGTGTGTCCACTTTTCTGCATGCCCTGCTGCACTGAGCTCAGGACGTAGCACATGACTCGGAACGCTCATTAATTGACAAATGTAAGGATAGCTGTGTTCCTAGCCTGTGCTTATAAAGTCAGTTACAACTGAACCAGATCCTTTCCCTCTTGAAGTCTGTGCGAATTTTCTCAGGCTTTTTAACATAGCTGAAGGCCAAAGTACTTTAATGTGTCTAATAAGTGTTAAATGGTATTACACTGTTCGACTACAACAAATGAAAAAAATTATGTGAAAAAATAAGCTAGAAAGTAATATACTAAAATTCAGTCTTTCATGCTCAGTCTTTTCGTGTGTTAGGATCATAAATTGATAGTGAGATCTTAGGTCTGGTCATGTAACTACCTTGCTTTTATAACTAAAATAGTCTCTTTTTTTCGGGGGTATCCTAGGAAAGAAATTACAGTATTTACTTGAACCATACCATGTTATTGAAAGCAATACTCTTACACTGTGGGATCCCAGAAGATAAACTCAGTCAAGTCTACATTATTCTGTATGATGCCGTGGTAAGCATTTAATTACTTTCGCTTGATATTGAAGGATACAAATAGTTCGTGAGCATTTTCTTAGTGATGTAGCTATAACATTGAATTTGAACTTGTATCTCCTTCCCTCATTGCTATAAGGTAAAAGAACCAATTCTCTGATTATATCAACAACTAATGAGCTTTTATTCTGGACTAGTGACTTCCGGGTGTTGTTGTTTTTTTAAGGGTAACTTCTGATTTTATAAAGATCAAATTGTCTTATTTCACTTGTAAGATAATAAAGGTCTTCACTAACTTACTTCTGGAGGCAAAAAAACAGTCCTCACACTTGCTAATAACGACCTTTACTGAACACCCACCCATGTGGCAAGCATTAATCTAATCTTACGTGGGTTAACTCACTCCATCCTCACACATGCTGTAATTATACTTAATTTGTAGAGGCCAAGAGAAGGGAGTATTAACATTGAGGATAAAGACTTATCCTTGCCCTTAGTCCAGCCGTGGGCAAACTACAGCCCGCGGGCCAGATCCGGCCCGTTTGAAATGAATAAAACTAAAAAAAAAAAAGACCACACCCTTTTATGTAATGATGTTTACTTTGAATTTATATTAGTTCACACAAACACTTCATCCATGCTTTTGTTCCAGCCCTCCGGTCCAGTTTAAGAACCCATTGTGGCCCTCGAGTCAAAAAGTTTGCCCACCCCTGCCTTAGTCCTTCCAGCCTACCTATGCTTACCAGCAACGTCACTTATAGGCTTGGGTTGCTGGAATTGGGGGAGAGTGGTTTAAATCTCTGTTGGAGCCTCATTTGCCACCTCTTTCCTGTGAGACCAGGGCAGTGGCACCTCCAGTTCCTCTTCATAATTAGCCACATCATAGTAGAGCCTGAAAGGAAAACACTGAAAATTTTATTTTCTTTAAAGATATTTTTATTGATTTTAGAGAGAGAGGAAGGGAGAGGGATAGAGAGGTAAAAACATCAATTGGCTGCCTCCTGCACACCCCTACCAGGGATTGAGCCCGCAACCCAGGCATATGCCCTGACCGGGAATCAAACCAGTGACCTCTTGGTTCATGGGTCAATGCTCAACCACTGGGCCACACCAGCCAGGCTGAAAAATTTAAATTGTGTGATATTATGAGGCTGGGATAGAAGTGAATGCTTGCTTATCTTTTATAATTTTTTTTCTTGTTAAATATTGTTTTTTATAACAAATAAGAAGCATCTAGGAGATTCAGTAACTAACAGTACCAGACAGTCTCTGGTTAAGGCAGAACAAATAGTGAAAGTGCATAATGGCTTATTGCAGTGGTTCTCAACCTTCTGGCCCTTTAAATACAGTTCCTCATGTGACCCAACCACAAAATTATTTTCGTTGCTACTTCATAAGTGTAATGTTGCTACTGTTATGAATCGTAATGTAAATATCTGATATGCAGGGTGGTCTTAGGCGACCCCTGTGAAAGGGTCATTCGACCGCCAAAGGGGTCGAGACCCACAGGTTGAGAACCACTGGCTTATTTGTTTTTATACACCAAAAGGCTTACCTAACTTTTCTTCCAGCTGGCAGGTATACCTCGAGGCCTCTAACATTACTGTAGGTTTCTAGTGGTTCTTTCCTCCCCCAAAAGGCTACCGCTGTGTAGCAGTGACAGATACAATATGTCAGTCAGACACTGGCCCCAGGGGTCTTTCAGAGGCCTCAGGTCAGCCTTGTTCATATCCCACAGCCACAGCCTGACTGCCAGCGTGGGCTGAAATGCGGAACTTGTCAATCTGTGGTTTTTATCAGGGGGATGGAGATCAGTTGACTCCCTCCCCCACAAACAGAAACGCCCTGGTCAGGCCTGTCCACCTCAGAGTTGCCTCACCATTCAGCAACTTTCCCCTTTTTAATTCTTTCATGTAAGGGTTTTTCACAATTTAAAATAATGTGAAGTTTTATATGAATTGGAAAAAAAACTTTTGTAAATTACAGAATTAACACATCTTTCATGATTAGGAGTAGTTTATCTAAAATGAAGACTGTGCTTAACAGAATTAGCCTGGAAATTGTACCTTATTCAGGGTCATTTGGTCCCTCTCATTTTACCTTTTTCTTCTACATTAGACAGAAAAGCTGACGAGGAGAGAAGTGGAAGCTAAATTTTGTAATCTGTCTTTGTCTCCTAATAGTGTAAGTACCTTCTCATGGTGTTATTACAGCTCTCTGTGAATTTGTGAGACCAGAAAATGTCACCAAATTCTTGTTGCAGTAAGCCGGCAGCACTGCCTGCTGCCTCACAGACGGTTTTCCCCGAGTGTTAATAGGTACCATGGCAACACGGGACTAAGGGAAGAGAGAAACCAGTGCTGTGATCAAAAAAAGCCTCTCCATGCTGCGGCTTAATGTGCTGTAATCATCCTGTTCTTTCTCCATCATCAGAACCCCCTTCACACCCTGTAAAGGCTGCCTGGTGGGCCCTCCTGCTGAGCAGACCTAGGACTAGCTATCCTCTTCTGAAATAGATTCTGTGGGACTAGAATGAGGCACAGAGCTCTGCAGATTAATGGGTATCCACCCATCCTGCAACCTCTCCCCACCAGGGTCTTCTAACGCCTGAGAACTAAATTAAGGCTCTTGCTTTACTGGTACATTTCCTGCTCCTACATTCTTGTGTTTAATCCCGTTAGCTGTGAGGAACATCTCCCGGGGTAACCAGGTTTATTGTATTCTCCCTACCGGCATTAGATTGGGCCCAGATCTTTGGCATAGTCACCCACACTTAACTGAGCTGCTGCGATGCAGAAGACAGCAGGGATTTCTTACATTTTTCTGAATATTTACATAGGAAGAGAGATTTTAAAAACCTTTCCAGAACCCTGTAGCCCCTGGACAGACATGATCCTGTGATCAGCAAAACTCACACATGGGAGAGGTTACAATGTGACTGCACTCGGGTCAGGCAGAGCTAGGGAGAGAATGAGCGAGTCGAGGAGTCTACAGACTGCTTTCAGTTCTTAATTAGGATTGGCCTTTAAAGAGACATGAGGGGACATCTGCAGCATGTATTCACCCTCCGCTCTTTAAAACAGGTTCACAGGGCACACACAGACCACAGTTTAAATGGAAAGTAGACCAGATCAATAGCACTGGGAGTTCTAGAAATTCCACTAGGTTAGATTTTAAATGTTAAATATTGGAGGAGATATTGATGATATGCCAAGTGACCTAATGGCATAGCATTCTAATACAAAAAAACGGTATTTACATAAAACCCCAGACAGGTACACAGCACATGCTTGTGTTCACAAACAGTGGAGTGTATAAATAGCACAAAGAATCTGCTCAGCAGACTGCCCGATCCAGTAATGCCCTACCCGAAGGTTTAAGCCCAAAAGGTTCTTCGAACTAATGTCCCATTTCAGAGCTATTTCACACTTGCACGTGAAAGCTGCATTGGTTGCTAAAGTGTCAGCTTCTTTTCGCTAAATTTCACTGGTCATTTGTGATGATAAGCATTGATTCAAAGTTATGTGTTCAGTTGGTTTAAAATGGAACAATTAGTATCTAACAAAGGCAGTTGGTACTCTCATTATTTAAAAATAGAACTCTAAGCATATTCAAAACAGGAGTAGAAATGCTGCAAAACAGGTTCAAATATCTGGCCCCATCTTATTTTACAAATGAGGCACTGAGGCCCAAAGAGATACTGAGTTGTCCAAAGTGACATGAGTTAGATGGTGATAGGGTGAGGACCCAACCCAGGGGGTATTGACTCCAGTGCTTCTGGTATTTTATTAATGGGGAAATTTAATGTTACAATTATTGAGAAGAAGTTATTAAGAGAAAAAAATTAAATGAGACCATTTTAAAATTAAAATATTTTATCTTTAATAAAGATTTTAACATTTTTATTTTTAAAAAATAATTTATGATTATTGTGTGAAACTATATTAAGCTGACTGTTCATTCAGCTCTCAGTTTCCAGGTGCCAATTTAGAGTTGAACCAGGTTCTGCTTGCCTACAGCCTTAAAATAGCTACAATTTTGCTTCTTAATAATTTCCACTTTAGCTCCGGGACGTTTTCTCTGGTCTTACGATCCCAGTTATTGCCTCCTCACTTGCTCTGTGCCAGCGACTGTGCCAGCTATGGAGAGGTCATCGCTAGCCCCCGCTCTCTCCTGGGAAGAACCATGTATACAGGTGGCAAGAGCTAGGAGCTGGGATCAGGGTCTGAAAGACCAGGAGGCTGCCTGCAGGAGATGACATCTAACTGCCCCCCCTCCCCCCCCAAAGATACAAATAGGAATCGGTCAGGCAGAGGGAGGAGAGGGGATTTCTGACTGCTTTGGTGTGGTATTAGACAGAACAAGTCAGACTTTGCCTTCCTGTCCCCAGCCCCCCCGTTTGTATGGCTGTAGTAATCAGAATTCATGAGAATGAGGATGGAAAGGAAAATAATATTGGCTTAAAAATATAATGGGGGGGCATCTGGGGAGAGGTCAGTGGGGGGAAAGGAGGACTTACATAATACTTTAAACAATAAAAATTTAAATTTAAAAAAAAGAAAGAAAATATAATGGAAGCTCTGCTAAAACCAAACTCTGTTCTGCTGGGGTCAGCATTAACTATGAGTAAGTGTGTGGCTTAAAAATGAACTTGTGAGGAGGTAGGTGCCTGGAGCACTTCTGTGAGGTGCCTTAGAGTTGTTGGAAAAGGATAATCCTCATTTGGGATCGTGGTAAGGGCTAAGATGACCTTCAACTACCAAATCCTCTTCTTGGAGGTATATGTACGAAACCCAGTGCAAAGTAAGTCTTCCCTGCTGTGGACTGCAAGCTAACTGTGCCTCTTTGCTTTCTAGCTGTGTCGACTCTACAAATTTATTGAGCAGAAGGGAGATTTGCAAGATCTAACACCAACAATAAATTCATTAATAAAACAGAAAACAGGCGTTGCCCAACTGGTGAAGTATGGCATAAAAGATCTAGAGGAGGTTGTTGGGCTGTTGAAGAAACTTGGCATAAAGTTACAGGTTTGGCAATTGTTTGATTCTGGCGGTACAGATTTGTAGCGTTAATAACATTACAAGAGGGAAATGGGTTTTATTGTATTAATGCTAATAAGTGTTTTATTGTCCCAGAAGATCTGTGCTTTCTACATTTTGCAACATTTGATACCTAGTAATAATTTTGGCTTCAGTCAGAATTTCTGTGCAAGCATCACGATTCCTGTTGTGCAGCAATTCTTACTGTCATTTAGCCTCAGAGAAGACAGCAGTTTCTCTTACTTGGTGGGCTGTAGTGAAACAGACTTTGTACCAGATCTTACTGAATATTTGCTTTATGCTAAATAGATTGTTCTGATGGAAAACAGTGCCTTTGATACGGTTGTGTGATTTCGCTTGGCAGGTCTTGATCAATTTGGGCTTGGTTTACAAGGTGCAGCAGCACAGCGGGATCATCTTCCAGTTTGTGGCGTTCATCAAACGGAGGCAAAGGGCTGTCTCTGAAATCCTTGCAGCTGGTGGCAGATACGACCTGCTGGTGAGGGCTGTCCCCGGATTTGTTGATCTGTTCTGGCTTAATTTCATTTATTCCTCAACTTGTTATTTTGAACATTTTCAAACCTACAGAAAAATAGAACCAGTAGTGTAGTTGAACACCTGTATATCTTTGTTGATTTACCTCTGAGTACAGGTTTTGTGTGTGTGTGTGTGTGTGTGTGTTTTATTTTTTTATTTTAGAGAGGGAGGAAGGGGGAGAGAGAAACATCAATATGAGAGAGATACATCAATCAGTTGCTTCCCATACACACCCGGACCAGGGATCAAACCCAAAACCTTCCAGTGCACTGGATGACGCTCAGACCAACGGAGCCACACCAAGCTAAACATATCTTTCATCTAGGATAGAAATGTCTTATGAACCACTCTTGTAATGTTTGTAAACTTTTATTTTGAAATAATTATAGATTTACAGGAAGTTGCAAAGATAGTACAGAGAAGTCTATGTAACTTTTACCTAATTTCTTCCAGTGGTTAAACCTGGCATAATCTAATAAAATGTCAACACCAGGAAATGGACATTGATTTACTGTATGTGTATAATTCTGTGCCATTTATTCACGTGTAGATTCCCACAACCACCAAGTGCAGAAACCTTCTCTGCCTTTATGTCCCTTTACCTCATCCCCCATGTATCATGTGATTGTCTTAAATACTTTCTCTGCATACATTGAAATCCATATCACAAAGTGTTATGCTTATTACTTTGTCACACTGAGAGACTCAAGAGAAGAAGGAAGTCTGTTGTATTTCTCCAACATTTCTGGTTTCTCATGAAAAATCAGCTGTTATTTGAATTATCTTTTTCACTATAGGAAAGGTGATTCTCAATGGTTTTAAAGAGTTGGGTTTTTTGTCTTTAGTTTGAGGTTTATTTATGATGTGTCTTGGCTGTAATAGGGCAGGTATTGTCTCAAAGTTTTCTGTCCTGTCGGGTTGCCTCTTGTGTGGTCTTTTAGCCAGAAAAAGCAGGTTTTCATGAGGGCTTTTCTGTTGTTTTTCCTTGGCATGTCTGGGTTGCCAGTTTCTCTGGCCCCCAATTCAGGACATATGAGGCAAAGACCAAACCCAGGGAACTAGCCATGTGTCATGTGGTTTCTGGCCAGTCTGCTGCCTTCTCTTCACTTCAGAATCTTCTTATGTTTGTTTTATGTAATGTCCAGGATTTTTAGCTGTACTTACCAGGAAGAATAGGGAGAAGTGTACTTATCCATTTTGGGTACAGAACTTATACGTTGCCCTAGATCCGTGGTCGGCAAACTGCGGCTCGCGAGCCACATGCAGCTCTTTGGCCCCTTGAGTGTGGCTCTTCCTAAGCCTTAGGAGTATCCTAATTAAGTTAATAACAATGTACCTACCTATATAGTTTAAGTTTAAAAAATTTGGCTCTGAAAAGAAATTTCAGCCGAAACCAGTTTAGCTCAGTGGAGAGCGTCGGCCTGCGGACTCAAAGGTCCCAGGTTCGATTCCGGTCAAGGGCATGTACCTTGGTTGTGGGCACATCCCCAGTGGGAGATGTGCAGGAGGCATCTGATCTTTGTTTCTCTCTCATCGATGTTTCTAACTATCTCTCTCCCTTCCTCTCTGTAAAAAATCAATAAAATATATTTTAAAAAAAAAAAGAAATTTCAGTAGCTGTACTGTTGATATTCGGCTCTGTTGACTCATGAGTTTGCCAACCACTGCCCTAGATGGTTTGGCTCAGTGGATAGAGTATCAGCCTGCAGACTACAGGGTCCCAGATTCGATTCCGGCCAAGGGCACATGCCTGGGTTGGGGGCTCGATCCCTACTCAGTAGGGGACATGCAGGAGGCAGCCAATCAATGATTCTTTCTCATCATTGATGTTTCTCTCTCTCTAGTTCTCTCCTTTTCCTCTCTGAGATAAAAATATTTTTTAAAAAGAACCTATATATTACATTTTAAATTATATAGTAATATAAAATAAGTAAAAAGAAACAGGTAGAATTAATTTTAATAATGTGGTTCATTTGATACAATATATCCAAAGTATTATTTCACCATGTAATCAAAATTTTTAAAATTGCTAATGAACCATTTTACTTTTTTTTTATTCTGAATCTTTGCAGCCAGTGTGTATTTTACATATAGCACATGTCAGTTCAGATTAGCCTTATTTCAAGTGCTTAAGCCACATATGGCTAGTGACTGCCCTGTTGAACAGTACAGTTATAGGTGTAACATTTACTTAAATTTGCATGTGGGCTTTCTTCTGTCTCTTACACACACACACACACACACACACACACACACACACATGCTTGTGCGTGCGTGCCTTTTTGTTGAACCCTTTGATGATAAGTTGCTGGGAGTGCATGCACTCTAATCATTGCTTTGCCCATAATTGCAATTTCTTCTCTCTTTCGTAACCAGAACTGTGTGTCTTTCTCTGCAGATTCCTCAGTTTAGAGGACCACAGGCTCTGGGGCCAGTTCCCACTGCCATTGGGGTCAGCATAGCAATAGACAAGATATCTGCTGCTGTCCTCAACATGGAAGAACCTGTAAGTACCAGCTTTGCCTCCCAGTGTGCCTTGAGTCGTCCTTCATTCCGTAGTCATTTACATGGAGCTCAGATGTGGCAGTGATAGATTATCTTTGCCATGATAGACAAGTCAAAAACTTGGTGTTGAGTCCTTGCCTTTCAGTCCTTAGCCTCTCACCGGGGAACCTCAACAATCCATCCTTCCTCTCCTAGCCTCACTCTTCATCTGTAATGAGCTCTGTGGGTATGAGGTGTTATTGTTGTTAACAGACTCATATCAGAACCCCTTGTTCAGAAATCCTTCAGAGCTAAAAATGGTTCTTTTTCCTTTGTGTTTCAAGCAAGACTAATTTTCCTAGAGGGTAGTTTTGAAATAATATCTATCCTAAAAGACAAGCATTAAAGTTTTTTTACTGTGCTATTTACTTATATTACTATGTAATTTTGAAGTAAAGGCTTCCACACATATGTTGCTGTACAAGATTTCAAAATGCCTGCCTTCATGTGAGTGCTGCTTCCCTCCTGGTGCTGGTCCCCTACATGCCTGTAGTCTGCCCCTTCTAATGTCATCACTCTATTTCTGATCCAGGTTTCAGTAAGCTCCTGTGACCTCCTGGTCGTAAGTGTTGGCCAGATGTCCATGTCCAGGGCCATCAACATAACCCAGAAACTCTGGACGGCGGGAATCACAGCAGAAATCATGTATGACTGGTCACAGGTAATGAGGCACAGTGAATGGAATGCAAACAGTCATGGCTTCCATGGGAAGTCATCCTCTACCACTTTGGGTTCTCAAACTCTATCTCTGAGGTTACAGTTGCTTCCTGGATTAGTTTCTGATGGCAGCAGTAATAAATCACCACAAACTTGGTGGCTTAAAACAACACAAGTTTATTAGCTTACATTTCTGGAATTCAGAAGTCTGAACAGTATTAACTGGACTCAACACAAGGCGTCGATAGGGTTATTACTTCTGAAGGCTTTGCGGGGAGAGTCCTTTCCCAGCTCTTAGAGGATGCCTGCATTCTTTGGCTCATGGCCCAATCCTCCATCTTCAAACATGGCAGAGTAGCATCTCCTTTCCTCTCTGAACTATGCTTCTGTCCTTACGTTCTCTAACTCTGACCTCCCTGTCTCCTTCTTATAACGACCCTTGTGATTACTTTGGGCCCACCCAGATAATCTAGGATAATCTCCCTATCTCAAGATCCTTAACGTTAGCACATCTGCAAAGTCCTTTGTGCTATAGAAGGTAATATATTCACAGGTCCTGGGGATTAAGACGTGGATGGACACCTTTACAATCCATTATCCACTGTACCACACTTCCCAAGGGCATTCTGTGTTTAGTGTGTTTGTAGCTTTGTATCCTCAAACCTCCCATAGCTGACTGAATACTTGCCTACCCTTTAGAACATGGGGCCTTTAGATAATTAACTTCTTACTGCCATGAGCAGATCACAGAAAGGGTTGTACCCCTAGGTGATCGTTCAAGGTGTACACGTTTACCCACACTCAAGGTGCCCCAGAGCCTGAAGAGACGCCTGGGGAAACAGAGCCCCCACCCGCCCTCCTGCTCCTTTCACATCACCTGCCCAGTCATTTATGAAGCTGCTGTTGTCCATTTTTGTGTTATATAAAAATTCATGTCAGAAGTAGGCTGAGCAATAATATTTTTATTGATTTCAGAGAAGAAGGGAGAGGGAGAGAGAGAGAAACATCAGTGATGAGAGAGAATCATTGATCAGCTGCCTCCTGCACGCCCCAAACTGGGGATCAAGCCCGTAACCCAGACATGTGCCCTGCCAGGAATTGAACCATGACCTCCTGGTTCATAGGTCAACACTCAACCACTGAGCCACGCCGGCCAGATGCAATAATTTTGTTGTTGTTCAGGTGCGATAATTTTTAGTCATTTTCCAGAGCAGTATTTCTTTCATTTGTTAACTTGTTTTATAAATTGTTAGAGAAGTGCTCTGTCTTACGGTAAAATATAAGCCCAGTAATGTGACTTCAGTCCTGCAACGTGACATCCCCCTGCAGGCTTCTCTCCTCTGATGTTCTTTGTTTTATGATTCAATTCTGCTTTTCGCTCTCCACTATTTCTTTTATTGCCTTCGCTTTCCTCAAAGGCCTTTTCTGTGTGTGTGTGTGTGTGTGTGTGTGTGTGTGTTTGTGTGTGTGTGTGTTATAATTTCTGGCACCTTCCCTCAAGATTTGAAGCTTCTGAAAACCTCTTACTGTATCCTGGCCACACTGATTGCCCATGGACCCTTAGAACAATAGTGAAAGTAATGAAAAGAGGTCTTATTCCTCCCTTGAATTCTGCTTAATATTTATAACCCCTGAAGTCAGCATGTTCACTTTGAGAATACAATGGAACACAGTGTTTTCATTCTTTTTAATTCCTTGAAGCGGCTCCCGGTGCTCTCTGTTATTTCATACACTGTTTATTTGTTTCAGTCCCAAGAGGAACTACAGGAGTACTGCCGACATCATGAAATCACCTATGTGGCCCTTGTGTCAGATAAAGAAGGAAGCCATGTCAAGGTAAAGACCAGAGAAAATCTTTCACAATTCTAGATTTCCAAAACTCTGTTAACTGTGGAACACCCAACTTCCCACCTGCCTGTGGGTGGAAATCCATTATTTTGTTCTCCCTCTGAATTGCTGGGCTCATTATTGGAGAGAATCATCATAATAAAAGGCTAGAGGCATCACGACTGCAACGACCAAACAACTGGTCACCATGAGGTGCATGGAGCACCTCTCGGGACCTCCCCCTACCCCCTTCTCACCCCATCCCAGGAACGCTGGCAGCATAGGCAGAGCATCGTGGCGTGCTGGCAGCATCCACGGAGCTTGCGAGGCATCGTGGGGTGGCAGACATGGCCCTGATTGCAGGCTAGGCTTAGGGGACCCTACACACGCACGATTTAATCGTGCACGGGGCCTGTAGTATAAAATAAGAAAGAGAGACTCTGAACACTTCCTTAGCGCTTAAAAAAAACGGTGGCCGTAGTTTTTTCCTAATTTTCTTCCCTTGTTTTCTTTTTCCATCCAAGAAAATAATAATAATTAGAGGTGATACTGCTGACTGGCGTATTCTCTGGCTACTTACTAACCAGTTTTACTGTATTGCATGTAACTAAAAATGCTCAAACTGAAACAACCTCATAACCTTTATTTCTTTTTTTAAAGGAAAAAAACCAAAATCAACATTTTTCTCCTTGTTTTTCTCTTATAATGTCTTTGTCTAGCTTTAATATGACAGTAATATTGGCTTCATAGCCGAAGCCGGTTTGGCTCAATGGATAGAGCGTCGGCCTGCGGACTGAAGGGTCCCAGGTTCGATTCCGGTCGGGGGCATGTACCAGGGTTGCGGGCACATCCCCAAGAGATGTGCAGGAGGCAGCTGATCGATGTTTCTCTCTCATTGATGTTTCTAACTATCTCTCTCCCTTCCTCTCTGTAAAAAATCAATAAAATACATTTTAAAAAAAATATTGGCTTCATAAAATGAACTGGACAGTGTTCTCTCCCTTTGTGTTTTCTGGAAGATTTGTTTAGAATTTGTATTATTTAATCCTCATTTATTTGGTGAAGTTCACCAATAAAACCACATGGGCTTAGATATAGAGCTATTCAGGTTGCCTCTTTCTTCATGAGTTTTGGTAGTTTGTATCTTTCCTAGAATGTTTCCATTTCATCTAAGTTTCCAAATATTCCCTATTCATTTTCACTATCTGTAGGATCTGTAGTGATATCCTCTTTCATTCCTGACATTTGTAATTTATGTCTCCCATCTTTTTTTTCTTGATCAGCCTGACCAGAGGTTTATCAATTTTGTCTTTTCAGAGAACCAGCTTTTGATGTCTGTGTTTTCTCTATTTTTTATCTGTTTTCTATTTTATTGATTTCTATTCTTTTTTTTTAACCTGCTAATTTTAGATTTAGATTATTTTCTAGTTTCTTCTACAGAACTTTACATCAGGCTTTGATAGACTACAACCTACATACAGGCCAGAGCCAGCCCACAGCCTGTTTTTGCATGGCCCGTGGGCCAAAAACCCTTTTTATGTTCTTTGTTTAAAAAGAAAAAGTGTGACAAAGAGTGTGTGACCTGCAAAGTTGAAATGTTTACTATCTAGCCCTTTACAGGAAAAAAAAAAATGCTGGCCACCTGGTATAAATTTCACTCTGTATACTGCATTAGTTGCATACCATTTATTTAGTACTTTTTTTTTCACTTAGTTCAGAATATTTCTAATTTCCTTGATGATTTCTTCTTTTATCCATAAGTTATTTAGAAGTCTGTGTTTTAATTTCCAAATATTTGGATATTTTCCAGATATATTCCTTTAACCATTTTTAGTTTAATTCCTTTGTGACCAGAAATCATACTCTGTGTGATTTCAGTCCTTTAAATAATGGTCTGTTATTGTAAATGTTTCATATACACTTGAGAAGAAGGTGTATTCTACATTGTTAGGAGGAGTGTTTCATAAACATCAATTTGTGCATATTAGTTGATACCATTGCTTAAATCTTCTATATCTTTCCTAACTTACTTGTCTGTTTGTTCTATCAGTTACTGAGGAGCATTGATCTCCAGCTGTAATTGTAGGTTTATCTATTTCTCCTTTTAGTTCTATCATTTTTGCTTCGTGTATTTTGAAACTGTTATTTGGTGAATACACATTTAGGATTTTATATCTTCTTGATGAATTGATCTCTTTATAATTATGAAATGTTCTTTATCCCTGGTAATATTTCTTATTCTGAAGACTTTTGTTTAGTATTTGCGTGGCTTATCATTCTCCTTCTATTTGTGTCTTTATATTTAAAGTAGGTTCTTTACTAGTAGAGACAGTCACTAGTTGAGTTTTGCTTTTTTATCCAGCCTTATAGAAATTGGTGTGGTTAGACCACTTATATGTAATGCAATTACTAAAATGATTGAGTTTAAAACTACCATTTTACTATCTGTTCTTTTTCCATTTTTTTTCTGTTTTCATGTCCTCTTTTAAATTATTTTTTATTCCATTTTATCTCTACTATTGGTTTACTGACTATAATTCTTTGTTTTTGATGGGATTTTTTAGTGACTTCTCTTGGGTTTATAGTACACATCTCTAACTTACCACACTGTACTTTCAAAAAATATCATGCACCTTCACATATATCACAACAGAATATCTCCATTTCCTCTCTCCCATTTTATGTGCTATTGTTATCTAATGCTTTTTTCTACTTATGTTATAAATCCCATTGTTAATATTTTGGTTTTAATTAGTTAGTTATCTTTTAAAGTGGTTTTTAAATAAGGGGAAATATCCTTTATATTTACTCACATATTTACCATTTCTGGAACTGTTTATTCCTTTGTGTTAAGCCAGATATCATTCTGATTTAATTTTCCTTCTGCCTGAAGAACTTCCTTTAATATTTCTGGTTAGTGTAGGTCTGCTGGCAATGAATTCTCTCAGCTGTTATTGGCCTGAAAAAGTCCTCATTTCACTTTCATTTCTTTTTCTTGTTTTAAGTCATCACCAGAGGACACGTTTTTGAGAGAGAGAGAAACATTGATCGGTTGTCTCCTGTTTGCGCTGCCACTGAGTTTGTGCCCTGACTAGAATCAAACCCGCAACCTTTTGTTATGTGGGGATATGCTCCAGCCAGCTGAGTCACCTGGCCAGGGCTCACTTTCATTTCTTAAAGTTATTTTTGCTGGTATAGAATTCAAGATTCATAATTTTTCTTTTTCCATTTTGAAGATGTGTTTTATTGTCTCCTAACCTGGTTTAAAATGTTTGCTTTGATCCTCTGAATATAATGTGTCCTTTTTTTCCTGTCAGCTTTTAAGATTTTTTTGTCATTGGCTTTCTGCGATTTGAATATGATGTGCTGCCGTGTGGTATTCTTTGTTTCACGGGGCTTCTTTGACCTGTAGATGTATAGTACTTACCAAATTTGGAAATATTTTAGACATTATTTCTTCAAATTTTTTGTCCCTTTCCCTCCTTTACTTCTGGGACTCTGATTATAGTATATTAATTATTGATATTGCCCCACAGCTCAGACTCTTTTTTGTTTTATTGTGTGCCCTCCTCACCCCGCTTTATTTTGAATGAGTCCCTGATCTTTTCTGCAATCTCGAATCTGCTTTTAATCCCATACAGTACATTTCTTATTTCAGATATTGTATTTTTTTTCATCTGTACAAGTTACACTGTGTTTTTTTTAATGTCTTCCATTTCTCTCATTGTGGTTCTTATTTGGTTTATATTCTTTATAAGATTTTAAATGGGTGTTTTAAGGTATTTGTATACTAATTCCATCATCTCTGTCATTTCTGGGGCTATTTCTATGTATTAATGTTTCACTTGGTTATGAGTCATATTTTTTAGCACTTTGCATTCCTAATAATTTTTATTGGTTGTTGGACATTATGAATTTTACATTTTTGGGTGCTGGGTTTTCTTATGCTCCCGTAAGCTCTGTTGACCTTTGTTCTGTAATGTAGTTAGGATCTTTGGATTCTATTTGATCCTCTCCAGGCTTGATTTTAAGCTTTGTTAGGGCAGATTCAGGGCAACTTTTAGTCTTGGCCTAAGTTAGTCCCTAGCAGTGCCCTTCAGAGGATTCTGCCTCATGCACTATGTATTATGAGATCTCTCTACTCTGGTAAGGACAAGAACTATTCCCAGTCCTGTGATTCCAGAAATTATTATGCCTACTTATTTCTGGTGGTTATTTCTTCAGCTGTGGATGGTTTCCTGTCACCCATGCCAGGTCAGTACCTCTGCCAAAGATGTGAGTGGAATCTCCTGCAGAGCTTCAGAAATATTTCTCTGTGAGTGTGTGGCTCTCTCCTCTTTGGTCATCTGTCCCACAATTTGTAGCCAACTTGGCCTAAACTCCAACTCAGCAAGACTCCTCTCTCTGTTTAGGTACCCTCCCTGGCACTGCAGTCTGCAAACTTCTTCAACACAATAACCTGGGCCCCTTGTAGGATAATAGTCCTCCACTGCTTATTGTCCAATGTCTGAAAACCATTGTTTATGTTTCATCTGGTTTTCTAGTTTAAGGCAGAAGGGCAATTCTTGTAGTAGTTAATCCTTCATGGACAGATTTGGAAGTCCCCACTGGCAGTCTGGTTGTTAGTCACAAAACCATCAGTTACCCTACGTTCCACTGATCAGGCCTCATCTAGAGCAGTGACTGCTCCTGCAGTATTACCAGGAGATGACTGTCTAGCCCAGGGGTGGGCAAACTTTTTGACTCAAGGGCCACAATGGGTTCTTAAACTGGACCGGAGGGCTGGAACAAAAGCATGGATGGAGTGTTTGTGTGAACTAATATAAATTCAAAGTAAACATCATTACATAAAAGGGTACGGTCTTTTTTTTTTTTTTTTTTTTTAGTTTTATTCATTTCAAATCCGGCCCGCGGGCCGTAGTTTGCCTACGGCTGGTCTAGCCTCTGCTGATAATTCCACTGTCATAACACACTGCTGTTATGGTTAGCACATTTTAGAAACTTGACTTAGAATCTGCTTCCCAATAGGTACAATCACTGGTCCTAGTTCTACCCTCTGGAGTAGTTAAGGTAACCATTCTAATTTTTCCTGCTTCTCTCAGCTACCTTCAAATAAATTTTAGGAGTCAGCTGCCATGCCACTTTAACTGTCCTCTGTTCTGGTGTACACATTCCAGTTACTGAAGCCTTTCCTCATCACATGGTTTCCAGATCCTTGACCCTCTTAACCTCCTCTAGACATACTTCACTGTGTCACTGTCTGCCTTTAAATGTGATACTAAAATTTTACAGAGTGCTCTAAGCATGTTCTGATTAAAAGGAAAGGGTCTGTGACCTCCCTCCATCCAGATACCATATTTCTCCTAATACAGCCTACAAGTAAATTCTTAGCAACCATATGGTTCCTTTGGCTCATACTGAGTTTATCATCAACTAAACCCATTAGGCTTTTCACAGTTATTACCAGGTCTGGCTGGCCTTCCACAATGAGGCTTTAATATTAGGACTTCATATTTATCTCCATTAAATATGATTTTGTTCATTTCAACATTGTTCCAGCATCTCCAGCTCTTTTCAGTCTTGATTCTGCCTCTATTAATGATAGATCGATAGCATCACCTTCATATATGAAGGCCAAGCCATCACTTCATTCAGCAAATGCATTTTAAGCATTCATTGTGGGAGGGGTTACATTGAGGCCCATGGAGAGTACAGGGACATTAAGCTACAAGCCCTGCTGTCAAGGATCCTGTAATCTAATAGGAAACATAAGACATTTGTGCATGATTATGACCTAGAAAATGCTCAATGTCATGAAGGCCTTACAGAGAAAGTTCTCTGAGGGTTCATCAGCCTAGTAGATTATTTCAGAGGTAGCAAGGACGTCTACAGGGTGGAGGTGGCATTTATACTGGAACCTCAAGGATGGGCAGGATATAGGTATGTGCTGAAAGGGACTTTTAAGCAGAAGGAATAGCAAAGGTAATGGTAGTTCTTTCCGTAGACTGTCCGAAAGATAGAGTCAGGCCAGCAGAGAACTATTCTGGTATTACCCTCAATAGTCTGTTTTGGATTATAAAGAAGGGGACTTCAGCCCTAGCTGGTTTGGCTCAGTGGATAGAGCATCAGCCTGTGGACTGGAGGGTCCCAGGTATGATTCCAGTCAAGGGCACATGCTCGTGTTGTAGGCTCAATCCCCAGTAGGGGGCGTGCAGAAGCAGCCGATAAATGATATCTCTCATCATTGATGTTTCTATCTCTATCTCCGTCTCCCTTCCTCTCTGAAATCAATAAGAATATATTTTTTAAAAAGAAGAAGAAGAAGAAGGTGACTCCAGCAGGAGAGAATGGTTCTAGCCAGATCATGGAGAGCCAAAAAAATTTGGACTGTATTTAGCTACTAATTGGGAGCCAGTGTATGTTTTTAACAGAAGGGGACAACAGAATTGTATATGAAAAAAATTACCCTGCAGGGATGTGTAGTATGGAAAGGAGCAAGGGAAAGTTGAAGACAGGGATAGCAATGGGAAGAATATCGGGCTATCCCAAGCCAAGGCTGAGTGCTGGCCACACAAGTGGAGATGAAAGGGCAGGCGCCATAAAAGTAGGAAGACAGGACTTGGGTTTGAAAAGGAGAGGGAGGAGTTGTAGAAACCTTGGTGACTGACCAGAGGATGTTTAAGAAGAAGAATATGTGAAAGAAAGAAATTAAGTATGAGCAGGTTTGTCTTGGCCTTTTTAAAAAAAAAAAATTCTATCATCTATGATAAACTATTCTAGTCTAGACTTGGGTTTCTCAACAGCCACGCTTTGACTTCTTGGGCCAGATAATTCCTTGTGAGGCTGCTGTCTTGTGCGTTGTAGGCTGTTTAGCAGCATGCGTAGCCTCTACTCACTCGATGCCCCCACAGTTGTCACAACCAGAAGTGTCTCTGAACATGACCAAATGTCCTGTGGGGAGCAAAATTGCCCCTAAACTGTCGCCTTGTCTTACTATAGAATTCTGAGTTAGCCTTTTGGCTTCTGAAATGATGGATCTGTTTCACTCTTTTTAAGGTTAAGTCTTTTGAGAAGGAAAGGCAAACAGAGAAACGTGTGCTGGAGTCTGATCTTGTGGACCATGTTATGCAGAAGCTGAGGACTAAAGTCAGTGATGAAAGGACTATCAGGTAACTGTAATAAACAAAAGCCCAGAAAATCAGCTGGGACTAAATATATAGAACATAGGCAACTTTACTTTAAAAATCAATTTGATCCTTTTGGGAAATAAAGATAGGTCTGGATAACTTTCAGTGAATCTTTCTATTGTTTCTGAATAACTCAGCGGTTTAATTATATGACCCCCTGTGTAAGACTAGCTGTTTCTTACTTTCAACATTTTTCTCTGGAACATGTCCAAGAATATTTTAGCATTTTGAAAGGCTAAGCTGCCAAACTGTCTGCCATTATCCTACTTGGTCTGTTAATCAGTGAATTTTGATAGTGTTTTGTCTAATATGTTCTGTGAAGAGATGTCATATACTCATGATGGGAATCTAAATTGGTGCAACTGTCTGGATAGGAATGTAATGAAGTAAGTTTTAAAAGCCTTAAGATGGCTGCGACGTCAGAGGAATGGCAGCATAAGGCTGCTTCTTTTCCTCTCCCCCTGACATTTCAACAAGTAAGTCCCTGCTCAACACAGATGCACACCTGAGAGACCTGCACACTGAAACACCTAAAGACGGGCATCCGGGGATAAACAGGGCAGCGAGAAGGCAGGAAAGCGCAGACAGCCCGCATATGCAGCCCTGCAGCTCAGCTGGGAGCGCACAGCCTGGCCTGGAGAGGGGAGAAAGCCAGTGGTCGTAGGCACTTCCTTGGGCCTGGAGGAACAGAGGGATTGGGGGGGCGGAGGGGGGATTGGAGGAGCAGCGAGCAGCCTTTGAGTCACAAGCATGAGCAACGAGAAAGAACAGTGACTGAGTCAGCAGACGCCCAAAGAGAACACGGGGTTCTGCCATGCGGCTCCCCACTGCTGGGCCGGGCGGTGGTGTTTCAAACAAAGAAAGGAAACCACAGAGCCTTGCTGCTGCTTCCACTCCCAAAACTCGCCTCCTGCTGCCCTTGAAATTGACTCCAGGAGCATATTATCTGTAAACCAAGAGCTGTTGCAGTAGGTTCGCTGTTTCCCTCTGTGGCTGAACCCCCGGCAGGGTGCTTGGGGTGGGACCCTGCAGAGGTCAGGGGTCACCATTACTGTGAGGGCATAACAAACCCCACCCCCAAGCAGCATGGAGGTACTGACCTATGGAAGCCAAGGAGGCTCAAATCTGGTAAAAATCTTTCGATTCAGCGCCATCTACCGTAACATAGTAGAAAGACCGCTTCAGAGATAAATGTGAAAACAAAGAACAGCAAATACCATGAAGAACCACAGTAATGACGATGACCAGAAAGAAAAATAAAAAATTCCCAGAAAGCAGGGTGGAACACATGGAATTAGGTGATATAAATGACAGAGACTTCAAGACTACAGTTCTGAAAATACTCAACAAGAGAAAGTTCTGAAAATACTCAACAAGAGAAAGTACTGACAAGCAATTCAGTGCACTCAGAAAACAAATCAATGAACAAAAGGAGTATTTCTCCAAGGAAATTGAAACTTTAAAAAAGAATATATCAGAAATACTGGAAATGAAGCAGGCAATTTAGGGAGATTAAGAGTGAACTGTTGAGCATAGAAAACAGAACCAACCAGTCAGAGTAAAGAACTAGTGATATTGAAGATAGGAATCAGGAAATGATGCAGAAATACCTTAAACAATAAAAGAAATTTTTTAAAAAAATGATGCCGACGGAAGAAGAGAGAGACCTGAGAATAAAGAAAAATGAACGAGCGCTACGAGACTCCCTGGCTCAGTCAGAAGAAGTAATATCAGAATCAGGCATAGTGGAGGAGGAAGAGGGGGAACATGGAATCAAGAGTCGATTAAAACAAATAGTGAATGAGAACTTCTCAAGTCTATGGGAAGAACTAGATCCTTGAGTCCAAGAAGCAAACAGAACACCGAGTTACTCCAATCCAAGCGGCCCTCTCCAAGGCACTCGGTGATAAAGCTGTCAAAAATTAATGACAAAGAAAAAATTCTCAAAGCATCCAGGGAAAAAAAGGAAGTGACCTACAGAGGAAAACCCATTAGAATTTCATCTGACTTCTCAGAAGAAACTCTACAAGCCAGAAGAGAGTGGAGCTAAATATTCAAACATCTGAAAGAGAAATTACCAGCCATGAATAATATATCCAGCAAAATTATCCTTTAGATATGAAGGGAAAATAAAGACATTTCCATACATATAGAAGCTGAGAGATTTTATCACCAAAAAAAACCTCCATTGCAGGAAATACTCAAGGGAGTTATTCTACCTGAAACAAAGAGCATAAGATCACAACACTACGAGTAAGATCCCCCAAAACTTACAGCATAAACAGAGATAACTTGTGACAACAAAAACATACAAGAGGAAGGGGGAAAGGGCTGAACTGGCAAAGGAAGATGAAGATCAGATATATTCAAAATATCCCATATTCATGGATTGGAAGAATCAACATAATTAAAATGACCATATTACCCAAAGCAATATACAAATTTAATGCAATCCCCATCAAAATCCCCGTGCCAATTTTTAAAGAAATAAGAAATCATCAGATTTGTATAAAACCACAAAAGACCCTGAATAGCCAAAGCAAGTAAAGATAGTCTCTTCAATAAATGGTGCTGGGAAAAATGGCAAGCCACATGCAAACGAATAAAACTGGATTACAGTTTGTCCCCATGTGCAAAAATTAATTCAAAATGGATCAAAGACCTAAACATCAGACCTGAAACAATAAGTTACATAGAAAAAAATATAGGTACCAAACTTATGGACCTGGGTCATAGAGAACATTTTATGAACTTGACTCCAAATGTAAGGGAAGTAAAGACAAAAATAAATGAATGGGACTATATCAAACTAAAAAGCTTCTGCACTGCAAAAGAAACTGGCAACAAAACAAATAGGCAGCCAACCAGATGGGAGATGATATTTGCAAATTGTAGCTCCAACAGAGGTTTAATTTAAAAATATATATAAAGAACTCAGCACCAAAAAAACAAACAATCCAATCAAAAAGTGGGCAGAGAACCTGAAAATACACCTCTCTCAAGAAGTCATACAAACAGCCAATGGAAAAGATGTTCAACCTCACTGGAAATTAGGGAAATGCAAATCAAAACTACAGTGAGATACCACCCTGTTAGAGTGGCCATGATCAACGAGACAAGCAATAACAGGTGTTGGAGAGGTTGTGAAAAAAGGGAGCCCTCATTCCCTGCTGGTGGGACTGTAGACTGGTACAACCACTATCGAAAGCAGTCTGGTGATTACTCAAAAAAATTAAGAATAGAGCTACCATATGACCCACCAATTTCACTCCTGGGTATATGCCCGAAAAACTCACAATCATGTATTCGAAAAAATATATGCACCCTTGTGTTCACTACGGCATTATTCATGGTGCACAAGACATGGAAACAACCCAAGTGTCCTGCTTTCAAGGGCATGTACCTGGGTTGCGGGCGCATCCCAGTAGGAGAAGTGCAAGAGGCAGCTGATCGATGTTTCTCTCTCATCGATGTTTCTGACTATCTCTCTCTCCCTTCCTCTCTGTAAAAAAATCAATAAAATATATTTTAAAAAAAAAAAGAACCATATGATTTCACTCATATATGGGATATGAACTGAAACTCATGAACACAAACCGCATGTGGTGGTTGCCAGAGGGAAGGGAGTTGGGGGAGCAGGGGTCCTAATATAAGGTGACTTGGGTGGTTGGCACATGGTGCAATATAGAGATGTTGTAACACAGAAACCCACACCTGAGTGATGGGTGATAGTTCATGTTGTGGGTGACAGTGATGGGTAACAGTTTATGTTGACCAATGTCACCCCAATAAATTTAATTTAAAAATTAAATGCTACTGGCATCTAGTAGAGACCAGGGACGCCACTGAACATTCTACAGTGCACAGGACCTACCACCCACCCCCAACAAAGAATTATGTGGCTCAAAATGTTAATAGTGTCAAGACTGAGAAATCCTGGGTAATATAAAATAAATGTTTTTGTCCTGGCCAGTTTGGCTCAGTGGATAGAGTGTCGGCCTGCAGACTGAAGGGTCCCAGGTTCAATTCTGGTCAAGGGCACATGCCTGTGTTGCAGGCTCAATCCCCAATAGGGGGCTTGCAGGAGGCAGCCGATCAGTCTCTCATCATTGATGTTTTTCTCTCTCCCTCTCCCTTCCTCTCTGAAATCAATAAAAATATATAAAAAATAAAAATAAATGTTTTGCTCTCTTCTCCCTCCCTGGCTTTGCCCCCTCCCATCTGCACCTAGCTTCCATAAATTCATCAACAGGCTTTTTCCGAGGGAATATGTTTTTGAAGTCACCAGGTATTAAGGGCTGCAGATCCAAATCAAAGACAGAGATTTAGAAGAGAAAATAAAAAGTCAACTAATTAATAGTGAGTACATAAATACTATTAAGACACTTAATCGGCCAGATGGGATTTAGTTTTAGCAGGAAAGGTTTAAAATCTTTCCTCCCAAATGATTATTTCCCAAGATAGAATGCTATTGTCTCTCAAAGGTTAGAAAGTCTTTGAAAGAACATCCATTCACAGCTTTTGAAAGAATCTCCTTATTTACTAAATGTTCTGTGGATGACAGCCAAGGTTGCTGCCATAATGAAGGAGGGGCCTGCCTGTGCTAATGTTTCCTTGTATTGTGAGGGGAACGGAAAGAACACCCATTACATTTCATTGAAATTAAGTTCTTATATTGAGCCAGGATTTCAAACAGCTGAATAGATCAGAATGTTGTCTTTAGGCATTTGTTAATTTGAAATGACAGCCTTTATAATTTTTACCTGCTCTTGACTAAAAGCATAATTAAGTGCAAATTAGTTGTTTTTGTTTTTCCTTCACTAATAACCAATACTTATGAAATATTTTTATATTGAATTAAAAAAATGATTCACTCTAAGTATAGCTCACTGTAAGTAATCTGTGTTGCCTTTGGCTTATTGACTGTTTTCTTTCTTTTTTTTTTTTGGTTGTTTTTAGAGAAGCTTCTGATAATCTCGCAGTACAAAATCTGAAGGGGTCATTTTCTAATGCTTCAGGTATAATTACTAATTACAATCTAAACATAATGCTTTTATGTGTGTGCGTGTTTTCTGTAAGCACTATGTGGCTAACTCCTTGTTGCATCAAATATATATATTTTTAAGTAACATATATATAATTAATTGTACCAAATAGAATTTATCCCTATGCTTTGAAACTCACATCTTAGAAAATAACAAGATAATTACTGGTGATTACTGGGCATTTGGTGACTTCTGATCCTGGTATTCTTTGTCTTAGTATCTTATTTTTACAAGTGGTTTAATCTTTCTTCAACCTAGTTTATAGTATAGATTTATTAAATGTGGATACTTTTCCTGGAAATTTTCCCCATACACAGGATTAAAGAACAGTATTTTGAAATCCCTCAGAGAAAGATGATATATATATATATTTTTTTTTTCATGAAAGCCAAGCAGGAACAGTGGTGATAGTTATGCCTTTAGTTTTATCACATCTATCTTACTGAAAAATAAGTGTCCTAATTAAGTCCACAAGAAGACATATTTGGCTTTTAACAGAATTGGATCTTTTTGGTTCATTTCTGTTAGCATTGACTCTCTGTCACCATCAGATTTCAAATACTTTGAGAGATTTAAGGACTGTTAGTCTCAGAGATAATGTTTTGTTTTTTTCATGGGTACATGAGGTTTGGGTGACTCATATCGCCTCCCTTTGTTTTTGCACTCCCACGCCCACCTGAGAGAAGGCTGTTGGTTTTGACGGAAGCATCCAGACTGCTGGGTGTTGAGGTTCTGGGTTCTCCCTGGGCAATTGCGGGCAGTTGCAGAGACAGAAAACAAGGCCCAGACATCTTCTAGCCCCATTGAGTCACCCCAGAGGGATTCTATTAATATTCTCCGTCCTCTCGGTGTTAGAGAACATAGGACCAGAGAAGGCCTGATTCTGAAGCTCTCTCTGTTTCAGGTCTGTTTGAAATCCATGGAGCAGCCGTTGTCCCCATTGTGACTGTGATAGCCCCGGAGAAGCTGTCAGCCAGTACTAAGCGGCGATATGAGACTCAGGTGCGTTAGTGTCCAAGGCTGTCTAAGGTAGCTACAAAGGAAGGAAACAGGAAAGGAGAATAAGAGAGTGTTCTGGAAATATTTTCCTTCCCACTTCCCTAACTTGTTGGCTTCTGAAAGTTGCATTAACACAATCATCTCTCTGGCATCAAGATTTTGCCACATCCGTCCTCCAAAGAGGCGTCAGTGTGGACTGTGGGCCCCTAGAAGCAGCTGTCAGAATTATTGGATCTAGACAAAAGCTTTCTCATCTGGCTCTAATGGCAGATGGAGTTTGTGGAGGGTTTCTTGTTGTTGTTCTTGTTTTAAATATATATATATTTTTTTTTTAACATATTTTATTGAGTTTTTACAGAGAGGAAATGAGAGAGATAGAGAGTTAGAAACATCGATGAGAGAGAAACATCGACCAGCTGCCTCCTGCACACCCCCTACTGGGGATGTGCCCGCAACCAAGGTACATGCCCTTGACCGGAATCGAACCTGGGACCTTTCAGTCCGCAGGCCGCCGCTCTATCCACTGAGCCAAACCGGTTTCGGCTAAATATATTTTTATTTCAGAGAGGAAAGGAGATAGATAGAAACATCAATGATGAGAGATAATCATTGATTGGCTGCCTAAATGGAGTTTGTTTTTGCTTTAAATAACAAAGCAGAAGAGATCTATCCCAAGACTTGAGGCAAAAATATCTTTACATATATTTTGGTATCTATTATCTGCCTGATTCTGTGCTAAGTGCCATGTAAAATAAAAGACATAGGACATGGCCCCACTCCTCAAAGAGTTTGTAACCTTAGAAGCATATGCATTTTATGCTTGGAGAACAATACATGTGAATAAGTAACAGAATACTGAATTAAATATCTATAATAATAAAAGCATAATATGCTAATTAGACCGGACGTCTTTCCAGACAAAGTCGGGGCTGCAGCCTGTGATCAAGGCAGCCGCCATGGCTACGAGGGAGGAATCCAGGCAGCCGCCACGGCTGCAAAGGCCCACTCCTGCACGAATGTTGTGCATCGGGCCTCTAGTATTTAATATGTGTTAGAATGTATTACAGACACATGGGAGAGACAGAGGTCCGTGTTTGCTTCAGAGATGGTCCCTGAGGGATTGTAAGGGGCAGGGAGAACAGGTTAGGGCAGCCATGGGCAAACCCGTTTGAAATGAATAAAACTATTGAAAAAAATGACCGTACCCTTTTATGTAATGATGTTTACTTTGAATTTATATTAGTTCACACAAACACTCCATCCATGCTTTTGTTCTGGCCCTCCGGTCCAGTTTAAGAACCCATTGTGGCCCTCGAGTCAAAAAGTTTGCCCACCCCTGGATTAGGGTTTTCCAATTGGGAGGGACAGAAGGAAAGGCGGCATGGACAGTGCTAATGAGCACGGTCAGGACGCCGGCCTCACTTGGGAAGAAGTGAGTGTTGGAAAGCAGTCATTTTTTAGAAATGTAATTAGATTGAAATACAGAAGATCAGGTTACCTCATTTTTGTAAGCTCTCCTGGCTATTTCTCAGGATGTTGGGTGGAAACTAATTTTTCACATCTTTCTACCGTATTTCAGTTTCATGTTCTCGTTACTACCACCTTCCCCTTTTTCCAAATTTAGCTTAATACTGAAATCTCCCTGCTTCCACATGAGTTTCACCACACTGAGCTTTTTACTAGGTGTCATCTCAAAATTCTAAAGAAATAAGCAACTTAGGTGGGTTTATTAAACAAATTATAGATAGGCTATAAAATCTCATTTCCCAAAATCATAATGGGATACACATACATCTTTCTGAGGTGGATTAAGTGCAAATTCTAGGCCTAGGTTTGTCACCTGTGATTGTTTCCTGGAATAGGACATAGAATGGCAAGAAAGATGGCTTGGTTTGACAGGTTCTGAATTCTGACATGTTTTCTTTTAGGTACAAACCCGACTTCAGACCTCCCTTGCCAACTTACATCAGAAAAGCAGTGAAATTGAAATTTTGGCTGTAAGTTCCTTTCTTTAACCTTTTGAGGATGGCGTCTGTCCACACTGTCGAAGTAGTTTCCTCAGAGGTCAGGGGTTTTTTGCTCGGTGTCAGCAGTATTGGGGTACAAGCCTGTTATCACTGATGTGAATCTCGTGTAATCTAAACAACTGGGGAGAACAATTGAAGGTTTTGTGTTTGTTTCTCCTACTTCCTTCCTCTGAAGTGAAAATGGAAATCATTTTCTAAATGTTTCAGGCCTTTGCCTCACTGAGGGAGGTAGCAGTGTCAAACCTCTGGAGTGAGTGCAGTGTGTGGACTAGGAGTATCAGTTCACCGGGGCTGAGGCTTGCCGTGCGTGGTTCATTCAGTCTGCTCTATAGCACAGTAGCATCCCGGACTCTGCCAGTCACTTCATGTTGCTCCATCCACAGTGGCACCCTCACCACACGTCAGTATGTGCTGCCAGGGGTCTCTGACAGATGATGTACATTTTTGTGTATTGACAGGTGGATCTACCCAAAGAAACAATCTTACAGTGTTTATCATTAGAGGTAAGCAAAACGAACTCTTCTGCATTGTGGTTTTTAAAATCCCAAAGCTTTGCCAAAAACAAAAACAAAACCACTGAAAATGGTATTTTCTTAATGATATTAGGTATTTTTTGTCAGTTCCAGGAATTTGGAAACGTGTTCCTTTATGTGACATATATATTACTAAATCAGATTTTAAAAGAATCATACTTTTCTGGTGACTTTCTTTTAAATTTCAGAGATTATTTAACAAATAACTAGTGCTTTTATTGAGTGTCAGGCTCTGGCAGACCTTGTCCTAAGCATTTTACAAATCTTAAACTCATTGAATCATAACAAACCCAAGAGAGAGGTACTATTGTTACCACCATTTTATAGGGAACAGAAGTAGAGAGGTTAAATATCTTACTCAAGGTCACCCAACTAGTAAGTAGTAGAGCCAGTATTTGAACCTAGGTAAAGTAGTGGAGTCAATGTTCTTAACCATTGCTAGTATACATGTCATACCTTCATTCCAACTAGGGAAGCTCATTTATAGAACTAGAAGTATATGGAAGATCCTTTTGTAAAAATTTAATTTAGGTACTTTTTTATGTGTCTCCCCCACACACACACAAGTACGTACCCTAATTATCAAATAACCAAATAACTTGTTAAATTTTGAATAGTTAAACCTTTGCTATTAACAATGCTTAACTATAATCATAGCTATAGGTGATTTTTGCAACATCATATCAAAGAATACTTTGTCTAGCCCAGGGGTGGGCAAACTTTTTGACTCGAGGGACACAATGGGTTCTTAAACTGGACCGGAGGGCCGGAACAAAAGCATGGATGGAGTGTTTGTGTGAACTAATATAAATTCAAAGTAAACATCATTACATAAAAGGGTACGGTCTTTTTTTTTTTTTTTTTAGTTTTATTCATTTCAAACGGGCCGTAGTTTGCCCATGGCTGGTCTAGTCCTAACCGGTTTGGCTCAGTAGATAGAGCGTCGGCCTGTGGACTCAAGGGTCCCAGGTTCGATTCCGGCCAAGGGCATGTTGCGGGCACATACCCAGTAGGGATGGTGCAGGAGGCAACTGATCCATATTTCTAACTCTCTCTTTCTTCCTCTCTGTAAAAAATCAATAAAATATATTTTAAAAAAAAAATAAAGAAAGAATACTTTGTCTATCCAGATTAAATCAGATGAAAAATGAACTTTGCCCCAAAACTAATGCTTCCTACTGTATTTCCTGTTGTTGTATTCTAAGTAAGCATATACCACTACACTTGCAGTGTATTATCCATTCAGATGGATGCACATCAGAGGTGGTATGTCCATATTACAAAAAATAGACAGTAGGCAGAAATAACTGGTCTAAAGTCAGATCAGCACACACGGTGCTGCTGTATTGTTAACCAGATCTAATAAGGTGATCTGCTGTAAAGAAGACTGATGCTTCAAGGAGGAACCCCAGCAGTTTGCCCAGCAGTTCTAGTATCGCTCTATAATTTCTTCAGTATAACTAAAGGGGGGAATGGCATTGGACTTTCATTAGTGACCCAGAAAATTGCCACTTAATAAACCCTAGTACCTGTTGTTAAGTCTCACTTATTTTTTCTAGTGGGATGCTGATGAACAGGCATTTAACACAACTGTGAAGCAGCTGCTGTCACGCCTGCCAAAGCAAAGATACCTGAAAGTAGTCTGTGATGAAATTTATAACATCAAAGTAGGAAAAAAGTAAGTTATCACTTAGGCACCGCAGATTTCAAAATGGGTTAAAACTTGAGGAGGGGTTTTTAAGTGACATAGTTTATTGTCTAGACGTTTGATGGCTGATAAGCTGTTATGTTAGAACTGCAACTCAGGACTGAACCACAGTCATGATCTTGTCAACCACAAAACCGAGGTCTCAGAAGTAACTATCCCAATTATAAATTTTAATCACCCAGGTAACTCCTAGAACTATCTGTATATATAAAAGCCTAAACAACCTTTACAACAAAATGACCAGAATGACTGGTTGACGGGTCACTATGATGCGCACTGACCACCAGGGGGCAGATGCTCAACGCAGGAGCTGCTCCCTGGTGGTCAGTGCACTCCCACAGCAGGAACACTGTTCAGCCAGAAACCGGGCTCACAGCTGGTGAGCGCAGCTGCAGCAGTGGTAGCATCTCCTGCTCCACGGCGGCAATACCGAGGAGTAGCAGTAGCAGCAGCAGCAGTAATGGTGGCAATTGGCGCAGCAGGGCCTAGCTGAGCTGCGCCCGACCCCGGCTGGGGCTTCTCTCCAGCCGCCTGCTGCTTCAACACTGCTACATCCCCCAAGGGGTCCCAGATTTCGAGAGGGTGCAGGCCAGGCTGAGGGACCCCACCCATGCACAAATCTGTGCACAGGGCCTCTAGTGTTTAAATCATAGAAAAACAGCTGTGACTACTTCACTTTATGTCCTCATGTCAGAAGCCAGCTGTTCACATTCTCTTCCGCTTAAAAGGCAATGACAAAGCCTGTGAAGCGAATGGTGGTCTCCTTGTGTAGGACCTTATACTGCAGACCCTTACCAGTCACAGCTTTTGTACAACTTGTGCAATGTTTTAGTGCCTAGCCTTCCATCTTGTTTTTAATTAAACAAAACTCCTACAGTTAGGTGCTCTAAAAATAAATTTTTACTAACCATGTTCTCTATCCATTATACTGATCCTACTTTTTCCCTTCTTTTGCAGGGTGTCCGTGCTATTCCTGTATAGCTACAGAGATGACTACTACAGAATCTTATTTTAATCCTAGAGAACAGTCATTACACTGTTCAGACAGGAACTGTAAAATGTTGTACATTCATTGTAATTTTAAATTAACTTTACATTCTAAGAAGCTGTCACTCAAAATGGAGCTTTATAAGTTTTTCATTTGTAATATATATATATATATAAATTTATCTTTTGCAATATAATAAATGTTTTCATATATTTCCTTTTTAATTGCAAATCTATTGACATGAAAGGTTTTGTGGAGCTAGAAGAGAGGAAAACAGCCTTGTTCTTCCCTTAGCTTTAGTGACTAACTCATGAAAATGTCCAAACTGAAGGGCATAAAGAAGTCAAATATCATCAACTTGTAATCTTTAGTCTTAATTTTGTAATATGCTTATCCTAAGGTGATTAAGCAAACTAATTTGACTATGAGAATTCATTCAAATTTGCTAAAGGAACTATGATAAAATTATATAGCCTGGCCATGGCTGGTGTTGCATAATGGTTAGCATCCACCTATGCACCAAAGGATCTTGGGTTTCATACCCAGTCAAGAACATATGCCCAGGTTGTGAGCTCCATCCCTGGTAGGGGGCATGCAGGAGGCAGTCAATCCATGTTGCACTCTCTTCGATGGTTCTCTCCCTTTCCCTTCCTCTCTCTGAAAAATCAAATTTTTATAAAGCATTTTTATTATAAAGTGTAAGGATACAAGGGCGGGGAGAAAAAATTGACACATATGTAATACTCTTTGTAATACTTTAAGCAATAATAAAAAAAATTAATTAATTAAAAAAAATTTATATAGCCAGTTGGGAAGAATACCCATGAGCTAACACAACTTTTAATAAAATTTTCAGGTTTCAATACCAATAACCTAGAAAATAGGGCTAAAGGCTATTCATAATCACATCATCCCAGAATCAGTACTTACTGCCAGGAACTATTAATATGGGGAGAGAAACAGAATAAATAAGAGATAGTCAGTGCTGATAAATAGACAGGTTTAATGATGCATTGTTCTTCGCACAGATGCCTGCAGATTCTATAACTAAAATCCAGGAATACACAAGTAGGCAACATAGACCAATTAGCCAGATGTAAAAATAAACTGCTTCTTATAACTACCCTGTAAACATTACAGCTCTTCTTCCCATCCAAAACGAACATAATCTCACGTGAAAACAGTTAATGTAGAGGAACCAGAAACCTAGTTTTGTGGCCAAAAGTAAAAACCGAAGGAAAAATAGCAATTTGGTGGTTAGTTGGTGAAAGCAGGGAGTCTGGAGCCCTTCACTGTGCTGCTTTGCTCTTCTTACTCTTGCTCTTTTTGTCCCTCTTCTTCAGCCCATCCATGTTTGCTCTCAGTAGGTTTGAATAAGCCTGAAAGACACGGAGCACAACCTTACCGGGAAGAGTTACAAATTGGTGGGGCAGCTGCCCTGTTTCCATAATGGCTTTAGTGTGGCCAAGTCAGAAAGTCTACCTGATAAAGCAAATAATACCATGCGACACTTGTACCTGAAGGAAAGTGGTGTAAGAGGAAAACACTCACACTGTAGCAGCTTCTGCAATGCTCATCCACTGTGAGTTGCACTTTTTTTAAGCAAAAACAGATAAATATAGGCAACTTCTTGTTCAACTTTACTACAGGCAGAGCATATCTGAAGCCTAAGATGGCAAAATCTAGCTTATAAAAACTTAAAAGGAAGACAGTATCAATGTTGAAAGTAAAATTCATAGCCTGGCAGCTCTTGATCATAAACTACTGGTAACACATCATAGGAGAGCGGAGAACCTAGATATCAATGCTCACCCAGTGTTCAATGTTATGCTGACTTGCCCTGAGAAAGGGACATAGATAACAGCAGAAACTCACCATCTGAAACTTATTCACTTCTTTGGAGCTCACCTGGAAAAGAGGAGGGGAAAATGGTCACCCCTAGGATCCATACAGTAATCCCCTGCCTCACCCTAGATAAGAACTCAAAAGCCTCATGAAGACAGCATCCTAATTGCTAAAATATTCCTTCTCAATCAATCTCAGAGGTCATGATACACTAAAGGCTATTTTCCTAATTCACTCTCCTCTGCCTGGGAAGCAGCAAAGTTTGGGCTTTTTTCCACATGAGACTTGTGCCAAGATGGGAAAGAGGCAGAATTATGTTCCTAAAGAAGCTGTGCTTCTCACCTCTATTGAAATCTCTTACACACATGGCATCGACTTTTCTCCCTGGGTGCTGAGATGTCAAAGGACTAAGTACTACTCTTTTCTGCAGGATACATTTAAACTACTCCCCATCTTATTTTAAATCTACCTTCCTTTAATTCAGGCCTATTTAAGCAAAATGCAAGCTACCACAAGAAATCCTACCTCTAAAAATTCTTTGGGTTTTCTTATTTCGTGATCCCAATTTTATTTTTTAAAACCCCATAGCTTTACTGTAAATGTCCTCGAGATAGCTGGTAATGGGAGGTACCAACTAATGATGATCTTCAGGCTCACAAATATCCTGTACTGATGTGACTGGAAAGGGAGGCCAGTCTGGTTCTGCCCCAGCAGAATAAAGTACAGGCATATCTCAAACATTGCGAGTATGGTTCCAGACCACCACAGCAAAGCGATTATCACAACAAAGCAAGTCACAGCCTTTTTGCTGGTGGAGGGCCTTGCCTAAAACTGTAATAAACGCGACAACTGGCAGCATAAAGCAATGTGTAATAAAAGCGGTGTGTCTGTATTCATTCAGAACCCAGGGAGTCCCTTGGTACTTGAGAGAGTATAAATTTAGTCCACAGCGCTACTGTCCCCTTTCAAGCCATATTCAACCTCCACCTTGAAAGGGAACACTAGTGCTCTGGACTAAATTTATACTCTCTCAAGTACCAGGTCTGCATATAGCTACATGCTTACTATGTGAACAAAGAAAAGGAATAATTAGCTTAAAGCATCATCTGGTGAGAAGAAGTTGGTCATGGAAAGCCCAGCACAGTAAGCTAAGGGCATAAGTAATCATATATTCACTGCTCCTTACAATGCTACTATGAGTAAGGACCAATATGCTAATTTTATTTCTACAAAACTTTCAGCAGAACAAGTGTTTGACTCCACCTTCATTTTAATTTTGCTCTTGAGTTTTCTATTACAAAGGTAATAAAAGAAAGCCCTGATCGCACCCTGGCCAGGTGGCTCAGTTGGTTGGAGTGTCATCTTATACACCAAAAGGTTATGGGTTTGATTCCCAGTCAAGGCACGCACCTAGATTGCAGGTTTGATCCCCAGTCGGGGCACGAATGGGAAGTAACTGATCGATGTTTCTGTTTCCCTCTCTCAAATCAATCAAAACATATCGTCGGGTGAGGACTTTTATTTTTTTTTAAATATATTTTATTGATTTTTTACAGAGAGGAAGGGAGAGAGATAGAGAGCTAGAAACATCGATGAGAGAAACATCGACCAGCTGCCTCCTGCACATCTCCCACTGGAGCTGTGCCCGCAACCCAGGTACATGCCCCTGACCGGAATCGAACCCGGGACCCTTCAGTCCGCAGGCTGACGCTCTATCCACCGAGCCAAACCGGTTCCGGCGGGTGAGGACTTTTAAAGAGAAAAAAAAATGCAGATCCCAAAACAGCTGGGGAGCTACACAATAACTACCCTTCATTTACAACAAAAACAAGCCCTGGACGGGGTAGCTCGGTTGGGCAATGTCTAGTGCGCAGGCTCATCCCGAGTAGGGGTTGTGCTAGAGGCAGACTTTCGATGTTGCGTTCTCCCTCCAATGTTTCTCTCTTCTCCCTTCCTCTGTAAAAATCAATAAACTATTCTTTAAAAAATAAAATAGCCCCAGCCGGTTTGGCTCAGTGGATACAGCGTCGGCCTGCGGAGTGAAGGGTCCTGGGTTCGATTCCGGTCAAGGGCACATGCCCGGGTTGCGGTCCCATCCCCAGAAGGGGGCGTATAGGAGGCAGACGATCAATGAGTCTCTCATCAGTGATGTTTCTCTCTCTCTCCCCCTCTCCCTTCCTCTCTGAAATCAATGAAAAATAAATGTTTCCTTTGAAAGTAAAATAAACAAAAATAAAACCTGGTTCAGATATGCCACCTGCTCAGTTAAGTTTAAGTCTTTAAACTCCAAAACTGCAGTGTTGGGCACCCGACTCACCACTGTGCTAATCTTCTTTTTCCCATCAGTTGCTCTTAACAGACACTTGTTGTCTGAGGGCTCGAAGCCCTCCACCGAGCCCTTCCTCGGAATGGGTTTAGTTCGGCCATCGTCTGCAAGGAAAACGCACCTGGTGACCACAGCCACAGGGTTAGGAGGCCGGCAGAGAGCTAACAGGCGGGGGAGGAACAGCGAGGGCCCCTCCTCCACCCGCACTGCTCCAGCTCTGCTGACCACCGGATCCGCCACCAGCTCAGGTTTGGCCCAAACCTGGACAACGACTTGCTATCTCCACTCTCCGCGGCGGGGTTGGGGACCCCGACAAGGAGAAGCCATGGCGGCGGGCCTCGCTGTAACCGGGACCGGCTTAAGCTGCTAAGCGCTGCGGGCGTGCCCTCCACAGCCCCTGACAGTCGTCGGTCCCTCGGCCCTGAAGGTGCCCAGTACGCGGAGGAGGGGAGGAAGGGAAGGGTCTCTATTCATTTTTATTTGGAAAAAGCATTTTAAAGTATTGATGTGACGCACAGTACATGTTTTTAATAAGGGTGATATTGTCATCTTTATCATTAAAGCATGCTTAAAGTATTAACTCATGTCTTTTGTTTGGTTCACAAGGAGCGAGAGGATTTACT